ACTTCGTTAGAGAAGTCAATTCTCCAAGTTCGGTGAAACATGATATTGGAATATACACAGCATCTAAAGTCAATGTTTTTGGCGGTGATGATAGAAGAGCGAGAATGCCATGTTTCAACGTATTTCCTTGACATTTGTATGTTGTTAATGTGTAAGGCAGCTGTTATCGTGACAGATGGTTTTTTTGTTTTCTAACCAACGTCGTTCAGCGACCATCATTACATTCTTGATATCGACTTGACCTGTTTTATCTTCCGATATAACTGGTGATAATACCAGTTATAGTCAATGATAATATTATCTTTAGCTATACTTAAGTTAATCATTGAAAATCCATTAATTGAGTTTGAAATTCATTCGTGTCTTTTTTTTCTTTATTAGCGAATGTATTTCACCAGTAGAACGATTAAATCAAATTTAACAATTGTTATTCTTAAAATTAGATTTTGGACAAGAAGTATACAAGAAAATGATTTCTATGCACGACGATCATTACTAAGTCGTCCCAATGAAAATTCGGAAAGTTTATTGCTCTTCACTAGAAAAAAAACCCTCTTCTTTCATCCTAGATAGATTTTTGTGTTAGTTACTCGCTCATCGTTTTTGCCTATGGAAAAGGATCATTACACGTAGATGTATTGTAGATGTGATTTATCTTTTCGATATCTATTTTAGTCATCCTTCAATTAGTTTCGCGCATATTTTCAAAAACCCTGTCGTTCATTCTGTGCGATAATTAAAGAGTATTTCACACATCATAAATTCTCGTCTATACAACTAAATGCGAGTTAAGACTATGTTCAGACTACTGATCTCAATTAACTTTACAACCAATCAGCATCCTTAACTCCGACTTAAGTCATGCGTTTATGATGACTTAACCTTTATCAACCAATCAGATTCGTTAATGCTCTTTAACTTTTGTAGTCTAAATACTGTTAAACACTCACGTACCACTTTATACAGTGCTGTGTGTTCTGATAGATTTATTTATGATAGATACAAAAGCGTAGCATAGTTTTTTCTTGATATATTGTTTCTCTCAAGCCAGCCGTTCGTTCCCACTATGCTACATCGTAAAGATTTGGAAAGAAATAATTTAAATGTGCAATAGCCTTCGATGAATGATTTAAATTTAATTTTTTTTATGTGTTCTAATTAACTTATAATAAGTGTCAAAAGTGAACCTATTTTTAAAAAAATTGTCATTTTCTTCTGAAATATAATTAGTCATTAAGTGATATTTCAACGAAACGATTATAGTTTGTTCAGCTTCACACATACGTTATGAATCATTATATGAACATATGCTATTTCGTGTTTAATTCTTCTGCAATATTTTAATTTATTTTTAAGAATATTAAGGGAGCATATCAGACTCAAGGTTCTGCTATCGATGTGTTGGTCTGCCACTTCTGATTCAAAGGCTAACAGAAAAAGATGGATCTTAGTGGTTTTTAAAAATTCGTAAAATACATACCACCAAAGGTAAAGCTAAAAGTAAAATGGTATATCTTATAGTCGCTATTTTGATGAATTCTCACTTATGATGTTCGTTAATCTTCATGAATTCTGCTTCATCCGCAAATTCGAAAAAAAGGATATTCAACACGTACTAAGTAACATAGAGATAAAACTTATTGTAAACTTACATTAAATAATTCTTCAGATTCATCAATTAAAACTTTCATTAATGGTAACAGATTAAAGTTATGTCCTTTGATCATGTTCATGTCAAGTTTTTCTGGAGGTCGAATAATGTTACTACCAAATACTACAGATAAATTTTCACTATCCATTTTATTCACCGATGATTGATCAGATATTTTTTTCATAAATAAACATAAATATTTAAGAACATGATAATTAATGTCTGGTAAATTTAGAATCGTTTGTTTCAAGCGAGATATTTTCTCATCTCGTTCATTTTCATTCTGGTATTTGAAACTACAACCAATTTCAAGAAAACTATCAAAATCAAGATCGGGAATGATCGGTTCGGGTAATGATTGTAAATATATTTTTAGTAATGATGAGACGGTGGCTGGAGCATACGTTTTATCGAGTTTAACCACAATACCACGATCATACATATCACGTAATTCTTTAATCACTGTTTGTTTGCCAGGTATACTAAAATAGATAAAAAAAACAACAGTAATCGTGATCCTGCCAATTATACATGTTTTGTATGAAATAACGAGAATGATTTCATGCCATAACGGCTAATCAATCAAAAGAACAAAAAGCTTTAAATTTAAAAGCAAGTAAACAAAGAAGTTACTTTAAAAAGTATCGTATCAAGAGAGAACTACCAAGTAATTTATCTCACGACTCCACTCTCGAATGTAGCAAAAAGATCGATTTTATTGTACTAAGTCACTCTTCTTATCCAATTTAAAGCAATTTTGTACTAAAGAATTGGTTTATTTTCTTTCTACCATTTTTCTAAGACAGTATTCTAATTCAAAAGAATGTTACGCGCTTACCGAAATAATCCAACATAATTTGATCCATATTTCAAGAGATGTTCACAACAATGCTGAACAATTAAAGGTACAAAACTTGTTTTATCTTTTGCATAATCGTATGTCTCCTGTAGCGATTGACCAAAAATGCCTTTAACAACACACAATATTTAGAGTAACAATGTAGTAAGAAAGGTTCATTCTACTATTTATACTTACCACCACCATTTTGTGAGAAGGCCGCTCGTTTCGTTGCTATCAACCATGAGTCAAACTCTTGTTTTGTTTCAGCATGTAATAAATCACGCGTACTATCAACTAACAAATAAAAAAGATCAGAACTAGCTTTTTATGCTTTATGTTGACATACGTTTTGTTCTGATTTCTATTACAAACGGTAAATGACTATACTCTGAACTTGCTGTTTGTGACTGTTCATAATCATTAACAATCGAATCATATCTCAATTGAATCCAGTCTTGATAACGACTATTGGGTTTTGATGATAGAAATATGATGCCTAATTGAGCTGTGCAATAACGACGATGCCATTTCGAATGAGATGCTGTTTTCACTTTTAACCAACCTAAAATACAAATTAAAGATAAAACATCTTCTTTCATGAATCTGTTTATTTTGGGTTATACCTTGTTTGATAATAGGTTTTACATTCATTGCAACTCCACTACGCTACACTATGTACATGAAAGGCAAAAAATATTACTTTCTAAAATCAAATATATTTCGAATGTTGACAACGTGAAAGGGAATAGTGAGGACGCTGAATCGAATAAAAAATAGAAAGAGTATTAGGATGATGATAGATATCAACGAATTGTAAAGTCTAAAATATCTGCAACGTAGAGAAAATTTTGAATGAAAGAGTTGAATAATAATAAGAGAAGAGCATAATAGTCAAATTTACGAGAAATAACACGAGCAGCAAATTTGTCTACAGAGTCAAGAATAGTAAGAGAAAACGAACTACCATGGCGTGGGAGACACAGCAATAGTCATATTTTAGAAGAATACCAGGATAAATTTGACACCAAACTTGGAACAAAAAGGAAGGCAGAAAATGAAAGTCCGATTAGTCTTTGTTTAATCGTAAAATCTCCATCAAATGAATGTGTATATTTTATCCCACCCTATGGAAAAAAAGCGCCTAGGATATACAAACAAAAAAGTATGACCGGTCGTTCTGCGCAGATCGGTAGGCAACATTCAGTTGACTGCCAAAAAACGATCTGGTATAGATCTCCCGCAGAGATACAGATTGGCATGGTTTATTTTGTAATATATGTAAAGTTAAATCTGTGTCGTCAAGATCTCCAAATGCTGGTCTATTAGGATTTCATCTAGATACTCTATGGCATTGACTGAGCGTCCTAGGCAGTCCGTCTCTATATTTTAAATTCCTAAGCACACAAAAGGGAAGACATTTTCACCACGAAAAATATCCGAAACCATTATGAGACAAGTGACACAACAAGGTGAATGAAAAAAGAATAGTCTGACATATACGCGCCAGGTCGACCTTTAAAAAATGTACAAATTGGAATGCTTTTGTGCTATCGTCTAAAATTTAGAATCTTTCGAATGGTACACGCAAATCTGCTGAACACCTGCCAATTGATACTTTTTTCATGTGAACGTGTGGTGGAAACATTGTTTCATTTTCTGACAATACTAATTCATTGAATGAAACCATTCGATTTCATTAAACACAGAATGGGAGAGGTTTCTTCTTTTTCGCACAAGCCAGGCGCAACCATAAATTCACTGTTGGCTCGTTCTCTACAGTTTACAATAGCAGGTTGAGATCGGAAACTGATTAGTGAGATGCGCTAAGAACGGTAAATCTATCATTTAACATAGCTTGTCCGAAATAAATAAAATCTCATTCTGTATGCATTTTGTTCAAACAAGTCAAGTTTAAAATATCAGAATCTCATTCTGTCCTTGATTACATCGAAAAGTTCCATTTAACGATTTTGCATCGCTATAAAAAGAGGAATGTACATAATAAGAACACATTTTCCATCTGATCACATAGCTATACGATCTGAATTCAAAAGGTAAAATGGACAAGTGTTCAGACGTTCCGTAATTCTCTAATCACGGACGCGGCGAGAGATAAAAGCAGGAGGGCTGTAAATTTATTTGAGAGAAAACTATAGAACACAATATCATCTACCATCATAATTTCGACACAATAACTAAATGAAAATGATAATGTTGATATCAATTTGAGCTTTTTTTCTCATTGAAGAAGAGTGGGAGAAAAACTTTGTTCTCAATCATTTGGGAGACAGAGTAGAAAAAAAGCATGTGTTTGTTAAATTTTGATTAGATTGGTTACCAAATCTAGGCAAGAGCTCAGACGAAATTGTTGGGGAAAAAGAGATTCTTAAAGAGAAAATTTTTTTAAAAGAGCAGGAGGGCCGTACACCCCTCCTTTGGCTACGGCACTGCTCATAATACTTGTTCCCTCGATTTTTTTCTTCCTTTTAACCTCGATCGAGATGGATTGCACTTCCTAAAAGCTGAATGGTTTTGCTTTCAACCATTTAAAAACCAAAAATTGGACTCTCAATGAGAGTCGCATTATAAATCATTGTCGCCATTGCGATAAGGATGAAATATTTGCTTAAACGGTTAAAGTAACCGAATAGAATAAATAAGAATATAATAGAGACTGACTCAATGGTTTATTGGCATGGAATAATGCATCGATAATCTGACAAAATTACACTGTCCAAGGATTTCTCGTGAACAATCGTTCAACTATTGCTAATTGGAATAATCTTCCAAAGTCAGTTATTCGTCTTTCTTCTTTAATGGCTTTCAAAACAGCTTTACTTCAGTATCTCTTCTATGAAACGTTGTCAGTTAAGAATTTATATTTGTTCTTTTTTATTACTCTTTTTGTGCTGTTTCGCTCGAGTCATTGTTATAACAGGTCGTTGACCTTTGATGACTCTCACTTTTCGTGAATAAAACAGAATTTTAGTTTTAGTCCTAGTCTTAACAATATCGATAACAGAGCAACCACTACCTCATGATCTAAGATCAAATTCAAAAATGAGGAAAAAAAAACAGAATTTTCTGCCAGCCGTTAAGCTTTGTTTTCAGTTGAAAGAAGTGAAACATTCTACGAGGAAAGATCCAAATTGAGGCAGAAGGCTAGAGACATTGTATTGCATAGTACTAATCTAACCAGATCATCTCTTTACTGGTTATTCATGGACATTCAATGAATACAATCCCAATGTTACAGAAAAAGACTTATAACGCACAAACATCTTGAAATCAATATTCTAGACAAGCGTATGTATTTCAGTTCTGTTACAAACCTTTATTAATTCCTAATCAAAGCGATTATTATATAATAGATTCAATACTACTTGCACTTCATCTCTGTAAGTCAAATGGAAAAACAGTTCGTGATACAACAATCTTCAGTAAACTAGACTGTGTCTCTCATGCATCAGACTTTGTATCGAAAACACTGCGCCTCTGCACTAATGTCAAATACGATTAATAATGCAAAGTAAGACGTTATATTATTCAGCAATTTTGTTTTAAAGATTTTAGTTCTTAAATTATGACTCATGAAAGATGATTCATACCGGAACATGTGTATCTCATTAATTGTTTTGTTTACGTGATGATGCTTTTTTTGAAACTGCTCTTTACTTCTTTCAGTTTATTGGTAAAATAAAATTCAAGGAATATTAGACTAAATATCTAAATACTATACTATTAGATACGCTAATGTTTAGTTCACTCCGGATGAAAAAGTACCGGTATCGACTTCTTCCTAGGAAAGACTTAATTTCCTTAAACATGAATCAAAAGAGCTCTTGTAGTTTCTCGATGTTTTTTTCAAAAGTAAAGGGAGACAAAATGATTCAAGAACTACTGATTGTATAGATGTCTCTGTTCCTCACGTTACTGAACTGACATCACACGTCAAAAAATCATCCAGAGTATCTCATGTCGGAAATTCCGACATTATGTCATGATCAGATACTTCACTTGTGCATTGAGTAAAAGATATATTTGGAAAATTTTCACAAACATCCAAGCAAATCTCTCATATAAGCGCAATGGCAACTTAAGAACCAATAAAGAAAAAGAGAGGAGTTCGACAACGGTCAGGATAATCTACTTGTAAGATTTTGACCGTGACCTACTGAGAAAAAATCGCCATTGCAGCGTACTTGTGTCTCCATGACTTTTTTTGTCTACCGTTCGACTAAGATGGAAAAGCGAAAAGAAAATGTGACTTTTTGTTAGTTTCTTGAGCTTGTGTGATGAAACTAAGGATTTAAAATTAGCTTGGTCTCTGTATTGTCTTTAAAGGAGTGGGCAGATGTCGCCGGAAGAAAGTTCCACAGCAGCGCTATAAGCACCGGTAACCTATTTACTCTGTTTCTTTCTTAAGTTTATATCTTTTTATTTACTTATTTGTTTAGCGGAGGGCATCGCGTTGCAAATAATTGATCTTTAATGACCTGTTGCTTTTCGGGAATAAAATTTAGAGTCTGTTACTTCAAGTTTTAGTTGCAATCTACCTTTTTAGTATAGAAGATAGACAAGTACTTCCGACAAGTGCTCCGTCACGGTTACTTGTGAAAGCATTGATTATCCAAAAAAGACCCATCTTCTTGCAGTAACTGTTTGGGCAACCTGGTCGATGTCTTCTTTTTGCTGCCTACTAAAAAACAACTAAAAGTACCACTTACTTCTTTTGGGTACTTTATTGGCGACACATTTGTGTTATAATATCAGAACCCGGAATCTTTTTAAGAAGTGTTAAGAAATCGGTACATTGTATTTAAAAATATCATCAACAACAAAAAGAAAAACAAGCAAGAGGTACACATCTATTGTACAGAGACAGTTGCAAATAAGAATCGTCGTGTTCATTTGCTTCCAGTTTGCTATTACTATCAAAAATCAATTAGTGCACTTTATTAGTTTTTACTTACTTATAATGAGTACAAAAAGATTTGAAATAAGTGTATTACAGCCAAATGGTGAAGAATTTTATGCTTTACAAAAGCGTTTACTTGAAGGAAATTTATTTCAATTGCTAGTGGTTTTAATACATAAACTTCCAAGTACACCGAAGTTTCTAGCACTAAAAAAAGTTTTGGCTATTCCGGTATAAAATTCAAAGTTCAAGTCATTAGTTTATAGACCAAAAAAAATGCAGAATTTTGCGCTCTATTAGACTGTGTGTGTAACTTAAAAATAAACCTGCTACTTTTTTTACCTGAGAAACTCGGGAATACTGGTTGTCGCTAAGATGGCCGAAAAATAGGAGAAAATGACCTTTCTTTAAGAAAGGTCAGCCTTTAATAAAGGCTCTTTTTCGCTCTGATTTCATCTAAAAAAATCATTGTTTGTCATCGAAAAAAAATCATCATATTGTAGAAAATTTCTTAGTGAATTTTTCGGTATACCTTGTTTTGTTGAATAAGTGATTTTGAGCGAGGTTTTGCGCAAAAAATCGATTTTTTGAAGAAAGTTTGGAGTTTTTCCTGTTAGGCTTACTGTGCTAAACATCAAAGATGAATTTTAAAAATGAATATACAGTTTTGTAGAGAATTGCCTATCGTTTAGTATAGTAAGGAACAATTTGTAAATCCGTCATTTTAGAAATCGTTCAGAACTTGTGGGACACCCTTTATACTACCGCTCTCACTACTTTCACCGATCCGCAAAGTAGAAGAAAATCACTTCGTGATTCTTTTCAGCATTACACCAATACATATACTCATCATTTTCATATACATTAACACTTCTTTCCCGTTTTGTAACTACTTCATTTCTTAAACATTCACGATATTCCACATGCACCATCAATTTATTACCTAGAAATGACATCCTGTCTTGGCTAATTTTATATATTTTATTAATTAACATGTGCAGGGTCATGGATGCACTAGTCGGGGTAAGGCTCGAGCTTTACCGAACTTGCTCTTGTTAGGCTGAGCCTTATCCCATTTCAATATTGGATAATGAACTTCTTTACACGTTGTGTTTATGCTACTCCATCGTAGACATTTTCTGATGAGCAAGAGTGTGGTGGCATCTGGTTTAAAATCCCTATTTGACACTTTTTTCATTACACAAACTAAACTATTTCGATTTATACGAAAGCAACTATATTTTCCTCATCCATGTCACAGAAAACATGATTAATCCACATAAGTCTGCTGAAGTACCTTGTAAAAAGCACTTTTCGCATGTGCTTTTTAAAAACGCTTTCAAAGTTTCCAAAAAAATTTGCATTAACCCATTACTGGTGCACTCTGGGTTTACGGCGTAGCTATTCTTTTTAGAGAATGTGGAATTTAGTCCCAAACGCCTTGATGTTGTGGGCCCGATTGCACGCTTTGTGGAAAAGTGTAAAAAAGACTGTCAAAATCAACCAAAACTAAGTCAGGCATAAATTTGACGAACTACGCAGGGACCACCGTACATGGCTTGAGCAATATCAGCAAGACCTGCCTTGATAGCAGTATTAGCAAGACAAGTTTAATTCAGCGCAATTCTGTGGATTAGTTAATAGAAATACGTTAGTTACGCCAGTCGTTTACATCTGTATAAATAGAATAAAGTGGCACGGCAGAGGAATTTTACTAGATATAAGCAAAATTATGAAAAAATTCGTTTTGCGGAGGACTTCTTCAAACTGAGCCTTATTACGCCCTTGGAAATCGTTCCGCCGTCTCTTAACATGTGCGCATCTCTGTTATTAATCTTATATGGATATATAAGAAAACATTCTACTAACACATCGAATTTATCATCAACACGGCGTAAAACTAATTATCTACGATTTTAATTGCTACTCAAGAGCGCTTTTTCCATTAACTTTTGGCGCTAAACCAAGAACACCGAACGTTACACATCATAATAAACATTAACCGAACAGTAGAACCACGAGCAAAACTTACCAGTAGTTGTAAGATTGAATGATATAGATCCAAACCATATCAAAAACTAAATCATTTAAATCATATTATTTCTTATTCTTTGGAATTTTTTATTTAAAACTTCCTATTCTTTACTTTTAGTGCACCATTATTTGATGAACATGTTCATCAAATAAAAGGCAATTAAAACGTTAAACGGTCAAAGAAGCTTCTTTGATCGAAAAGAGGAAAATTTTTAAACGGCTTTTGATTGGTCAATCCGCCATTTCGTCTAGAAGGTTAATCTACTGAAAAATTCCTCCCTAGACTTCCGCAGTAGATTATCTCAACCTGCGGCAACAATCTACGAAGGAAAGCAAGAAAAAAACTAACAGCCTCTAGCCTCATACTATAAGCCTGAAACAGTGTCTTATTATTTTCTTGCTTTCACTTTTTAACGGTTTTTTTGCGAATGTTTTCTAGATTGTTCAAAATTTCTCTAACGGCACCAAGTCTATTCCTTTGTTCTTGTTTATTCACTCCAACCAAGTATAGTATTTGACCTCTTATTCCACAAATAGTGCAGTGTGGTCAGCTAGATGAAAAAGATGTTCTTATTATGTGCATTTCGCGTTTTATAACGATGCAAATTTGTTGCATGGAATTTTCGATGTAACCAAGGACAGAATGAGATTTCATTTATTTCAGACAAGCTATGTTAAATGATAGATTTACCGTTCTTAGCGCATCTCACTAATCAGTTCCCGATCTCAGCTTGCTATTGTACACTGTAGAGAACGAGCCAACAGTGAATATTTGGTTGCGCCTAGCTTGTACGAAAAAGAAGAAATCTCTCCCATTCTGTGTTTAATGAAATCGAATGGTTTCATTCAATGAATTAGTATTATCAGAGAACGAAATCAAAATTTTTTTACATTTGATCACAAATGATAGTGACTTTTGTCTCTCTTCTTCCATGAGCGTTGTTCCCAGCCATTTTGTGAGTTTATGAAAAATGACGAATAAAATGAGTAGATAAATGGGTATTTATAACAGAGAACATTCTGTCACTGCAATAGCGTTCTGAGATCATCTTTTTACATTCATATTGTTAGGTACAGTTGAAATCATGAGATTGAAGATCGACGGAGTTTGATGTGTGCTTAAACAAGTCTTTTCTTCATTTTTAATAAATCTTTCAAGAGAAACATGAACATTTGTTACCTTCTATTTCAGATAATAAAGAAAAAAAATGGGCACTAATGCAAGAGAAGAAGAAGTTCAAAAAGTATATAACATCCAGAACATATGAAAAATGAAAAAAGAGACTTTTTTTTCAATTTATAGGCACTCGGTCAACTCCAAATGAAAATGATTGATATTCAAAATTCATTACGTAAATCTGGAACACAAATTGAAGGATATAAGCGAGAAATTCAACGTTCAAAATTGACCGATAGAGAAATAAATTCATTAAAAGCAAATGTGCCTATGTATAGTCCCGTTGGAAGAATGTAAATAAACAAACATTATTCAGAATATTTATAATCGATATGTGCTTGATTTCGTAGGTTTGTTCAAAATACAAAAGCAGAAATACGTGAACAAATCGAAAATAAAATTAAAACATGTGAAGATGATATTAAAAAGCAAGAGGTTAGGCAACGTGTAGCTTAAAAGATTTCTAATCGAATGTACTAAGATTAGTCGAAAAATAAAATGTTAAAAAAGAGTGTTTTTTAGCTGCAGGATATCAAAGAACTTGCTAGAAAAATTGTCTGTTTGTGTCTTATGTTTAAGATCTTTGTTCCACTTCAAATTTTTGATAATAGATTTGAACCATTTTTGCCATTGAAGGATCGATTACCTTTTTCAAAAGATATGAATGTTTCTATCTCTTTTAGTCATCCAAAACTTATTTGGAAAAACAAATGAAAGAGTGTGAGTCGCAATTTAAAGAAAAACTTGGTCCAATAACAACGACGAAAAAGCGTTCTTAAATACACTTAGCATTATTTTTTATTGGCATTTTGTCACTAATTTTTGTGTTTCTACTTTTTTACTTATTTTATTTGTAAGCTGCTGCGTGTCAATAAAAAACTGAATGAGAGCACATATTTGCTTTTCTTAACTGTTGGAAACTTCATAGAGATAGAATCCTCTCACATAAGTGCTTTAGTTTTAGATAACTTACTGTTTACCTTCAATAATGGCAGATAGCAGTAGTCAACCAGCATCACAAAAATTAAGGTATATCTTTATTCTATCATTGGTCTCACTTGTTATTTGTTCTTTTGTAGTGATGGTATTCTATTTGGCATTGGCAATCCTTTGCTTGATGTTACCTCAACCGTTACATTCCCCTTTCTTGAAAAGTGCGTTTATTGCTGATATTATCATCCACAAATAACTCGCTACTCATTGTTTTATTTTTCATTAATTATTAGATATGGCTTGAAGCCAAATGATGCCATATTAGCAGGAGATGAGCATAAAGATTTGTAAGAAAAAATTTCTTTTCACAATACTGAAGCAAAAATTTTATTTGAAAACACTAGAGTTGAACGGCTGTTACATGATCATACTTATGATTTGGTTGCGGGTGGTTCAACACAAAACACAATGAGAGCAGCAGTGGTAAGTATACTAGAATTAAACTTTCAGTCGCTAACTGATCAGATTGTCTGTTTAGTGGCTACTTCAGCAGCCAAATGTCGCTACCTATATGGGCTGCGTTGGTCGAGATAAATATGGCCAATTAATGCAAGAAGAAGGATCAAAAGCTGGCCTTATTGTATCGTATGAAGTTAATCCAGATCATTCAACAGGAACATGTGCTGTATTAATAACAGAGAATAATAGGTATTTATTTTAAAATTCATTATTTCAAAACTAGACATTTGCTTTTGTTTTTTCTATACAGATCATTAGTTGCAAATCTGGCTGCAGCGAATCATTTTACAATGTCACATTTGGATAAAGTTGAAAATTGGGCATATGTTGAAAAAGCAAAAATTATTTACACAGCTGTAAGATTATTTGTATGTTTAGTAATATGAGAAAATTCGAATTTGCATAATTATTGTAAACATGATAGTAATTTTCGATTTTTATGAAAAATTTGATAGATTGTATGCGTACAAACTAGTAGTTACAAATCTTCTTCATCTAATTCTTGTATATCTCTGAGATGATAAACAAAGTTAATAATACACCATCTGTATTTAAAATCTAGAATCTCTTTTATGAAATTCTATTATCAAAAGATATCACTTATTTCTTTTTCAGGGTTTTTTCTTCACGGTGTGTCCCGAAGCTATTATGCGTATTTGTCAACATGCTCATAAAACTGATAAATATTTCTGTACAAACTTGTCGGCTCCTTTTATCTGTGAACATTTTGGAACTCGATTGATGGACGCAATGCCCTACATCGATTATTTGTTTGGAAATGAAACAGTAAATACATATAAATTTATATTTTCGTAAATATAAGTTCTTTCGTAAATGACTTGTGTTTTTTGTAGGAAGCGAGATCTTTTGCCAAAGCACAATTGAAACTTGATGTAAGTTGAAGGCTATAATCTCTGTACTGGTATAGTCTTGTTAGTGAAAGTGTTTTTCTTCTAGACAGAAGATATTCCTACAATAGCCAAAGCTTTAAGTGAATTGTCAAAAAAGAATAGCACACGTCCGAGAGTTGTTGTTATTACTCAAGGTTCAGATCCAACAATCATGGCGATAAGTAAGACAGAAAAAGCTATTTAAGATATATTTCTCTAACATTATATCTGTTTTAGAATCTGAAGTCCGAAGTTTTGAAGTAAAAACAGCGCCGAAAATAGTTGATACCAATGGAGCTGGCGATTCATTTGTTGGAGGTTTGTTTCTAATATATTCTCATTTTTGTTAACATTTTAACTATGTTTTGTTATCTTTTTTCTCTTATAGGTTTTCTTGCTTATTTAGCATTGAATAAAAATCATGATGAATGTGTTCAAGCTGGTACATATGTTGCTTACGAATGTATTCAACAAATCGGATGCAGATTTCCACTAAAACCAACATTATAATTCATAAGTATTTTTACTTTTAACTTAAGTCTAGAAAAAGTTTGTTGTGATACAATTTGTTTTTTTGAAACTTGTGATTGTTTTTGACAAAATAACGATTTCATTTAAGAAAGTTAAATAATTAGTTTTAGTAAGGCAAGATATAAGAATATTTTTTTTATTTATTTCCAGGCAGTGTTGTGAAATTAGCCATTTTTCTAATTTTTGACTGTTATTTTTTATTAGTTTCATTTTTATGGTTGACGGTTATTCATGACTTATGATCTTTTTTTAATGATTGTAGTTATTGTTCAACAAGATGATCAAGAGGAACAGATTTAAATGGTATAATCGAACTAGTTTATCTTTTTAATGTTTCTTCTAGATTTTGATTGTGTGAGTGATATGTATCAACACCAGTTATTGTTACATACATATAGACTTTTTCTTCATGTGAATTAGACTATATTGATTAACATCAAAGAGCGACTTCGAGCCATTGTAATTTAAAGTATGTTAAAATTTTTTAAAGTTATTCATATTTAACTTATATTAAATCCCATGTATTTACATGTTTTTCTGAAGGACAAACGCGGTGCGTTATCTCTTCAAAGAAACCAACAAATATGGACACTAAAGTATTTAAAAAAAAATCCCCCTAGCTTCTTCACTCTTTCGCTAGTCTAAAATAACACTAGTTCGATTATTAATTTCGCTAATACATATCCAATATTTTGAATTTTTTTAAAAATTATCTCATTTTATCACATTTCTGAAATCATTGTTTAGACATGGACAATGTTGTGTTAAATTCGACAAATTCAACGTCTTCGACAAGTCAGACCACGTCAACTCCTACAACAACTACCGTTTCTTCTTCATCATCGTCTCGTCCTACTCATTCTTCAAAACGTACATTTTCTGAATCGGATAGCTCTAGTCGTACCGAGCGTCATCTCTATTCATTTTCACATATGTGGATTATCAATTATTTATCATCGTATATCGACGATTCGGGCTCACCGAATTGTTTACAGTCAGAACAATTTTCACCTATTGGCACGCCATATTCAAATACAAACTGGAGTTTAAAATTGTATCCAAGAGGTGTTAACGATAAACAGCATAATTATATTGCTATATTTTTGAAATACGTCAGTGGCACAACGACAAACATCAAAGCAAAAGCAGAATTTAATTTAATTAGTCGACAAAATGAATTAGTCATGTTACGATCAACAAATTTTCATATGTTCAATTCTGGATCAGATTGGGGTTATTCAGAGTTTTTAGGTAAGAGACTAGACGACAGAAAAGGAATCAGATATTTAATTTCATAGTCGGAATGACAAAAAAGATTGATAGTATGACCATAAAATTAGTGAAAAAAGGTCAATGGAACTCTATCTTGTGTTTTTACTTATTTAGACTCAACATATCTAAATTCTCGTCGTTCTGATTTACTCAATGATGATCGTTTACGAGTGTATGTTCGAGTTATTATTGTTGATGAAAAAGAGCATAATTTGAATAATGATTTATTGCTTCAACAACAACAGTTAGCCACTCAATCGAAGATCAGTGCATCATGTAGTTCTTCATCTTCAACTGCCTCTTCTTCGTCGTCAGTTGCCGCTCAACAACTACCACCAATATCGACAGCTTCCTCTCTACCCGTTACACATCATTATTATCAAGGTCTATTCTCAGATGACAAAGAACGATTAAAATCAATCGAATTATTATCAAAACAAATTAAAACACTGTTTGATGAACAAAAATTTACAGATGTCAATATACATGTCATACCAAAACAGCAACAACAACAGAAAGAACAAACCTGTTCATCTTGGAGTTGTTGTTCATGTTGTGAACAACAACAAGAACAGGATACACAAGGTGAGCAAAAATTTTTTTAACTGCAGGTTTGTTCAATTTGAGATATATTATTTTTTAGTACTCAATAAAGATCATCATCACGATCAAACAGACGATCTATCTTCTCGTTCAAATTCAATCGTTCCAACAACAACAAGACGTGCTACGCGATCTACATCTCGTATAGCTCAAAGTTCATCTGATTCTACATCTTGTTCAACTTCGTCATCCAATTGTGGAGAAGAATCATCAACTCTTTCATTTAAACCTACAAAACGTTCAACAGTATGTCTTTGTTTTTGCCATCATCATACGCACGTGGAATCTCGTCGTTATAAAGATGATATTCACGTTGATGAAACGTCGTCGTCATCAACTGAATCATCATTAGACAGTTATTATGCTGTCGTACGTCCATTAGCCACATATCATGCTCATAAAGCCATATTAATGGCGCGTTCATCGGCATTTGCTCAACAAATTAGTCATGCTCAACAAAAACAACAGAGAACAACAACAACAACAAAGTTGAATCACATTGAGTTTAATGGAAATGAATGCAATACACCATTAGATATCTACATTGATGGATTAAAACCATCCACAGTTTACGGTACTTACGATAAAAGCTCTGAGTGATTATTAAACATTGCTCTCTGTTCTGTATTACTCATTTAGGTATGTTAACGTATATGTACGCTGGTCGAATTGATACAAAATCTCTAACTACTGGTGCTCAAGATGATCAGAGTATTAATCCCATTGATCTATACCGCGCTTCAGTAATCTATGATTTGCACGAATTACGTGATATATCCAAATATCAAATGTTAGAAGTACTAAAATCGGATACAGCTGTTGAAATGTTAGAAGTGGCTGACGAAGCAAATGATTATGAATTGAAACAACAAGTTTTATCTTATATTCGATCAAACGCCGCTGCAGTTTCAAAGACCGATGGATGGCTGAATTTTTCTAAAAAGAATCCACATTTACTGATTGATGCATTTCGATCGCTAGTCATACCGCCAAACAACTCACAGTCAACAGAAACAACTAAATGTCATCATAGATCAAATCTCAAATGTTTAAAACAAGATTAAAGCTCAATTTCATTCTTTTGTTCCAATTGTACGCACATAGTAATTTGTTTTTTTTGTTAACCTTTCGTTTTATGTTTACTGGAGACAATCCTAGCAATACAAGACAGGATAAATTCTTTGATTTTAGCTAGCTAACCGTTTTACCTTTCAGAGAGGAGTTAACTAGAGCCTAATGTATATATAGAATGCGAATTGCATTAATACTTCTTGTTAATGTCCTTTACCTCATTTAGATTCTTTTTTGTGCATATTTAAGCTAATCTCTTCTGTTTTCTGCAATTGAATATTTATTGATCAGTGCAAGCAAAAAATCCTAAGCTATACGTTTTTTAAAAGTGATTAATCAGGAATACTCACTTTTTTTGAATCCTCGATGTTCTTTGTTTTTGTGTTGAAGCTTTAAACAATGCTGCAATTCTCTTTTTACTTGTGAATATTTAAAGGTTTATTTTACTTCTTCTGATGCAAATGTTTATAAGCGACGCATTTCTTTTGATTTTTCTGTCTCTTTTTTATATACAAAACAATATGTTCGAAAGTCGTTTCTTTTATTGTTGTTTCTTTTTTTCTCTGTATCAAAAAAATTAAAAACAAGATAAAGCTTATGCTTTAAGGCACATAATCATCTACTCTCAGATATTATGCCAATTACATTTCACTATGGGTCCTGTTTAAACAAACGTATTAAGGCACAGTGCTGTTTCAATAATAAAACTTGATAACTTCTGTGAAAACGTTAAAATGAACTTTCGAAGTATATTAGAAGAAAATATTTAGACAAATTGGGGTGAAATGTCGGATGATCTTTGTATTTGACTCAGATGTTATTATTTTTAACAATGGATAGACGTTCTTTAGAAGCAATAGAAGAATTTGTAAGTAAAATAAAAATCTCAATCCCTCTAGAATAAACGATAGAATAGTCAGCGAAATTATCTTACCAGGATCGAAAATGAAAAGTTTTATTAATATATCCACCTGGAAAAAAATAGTTGGTTTCGATATTTTTAACATATCATTACTATAAATTTACATTTTTAGAAAAGTAACTATATATTCTGATAGCACTTAGAATTCTCTATAATCTTATATATGTATGTCTTGAATTGTACTTATTTGCTAAAAAATATTTCAAGCACAGTAAAGGCACCCGCCCTCGTCGTCAGATTTCCCTGAACTGCATTTTTTGTCCCGTTTTCATGTATTTTTTCAAATTTATTTTGACTATAGAAAAAAGTTATTACAAAAGTAAATATATATTCTGATAGCACGCGAAATTTTCTATCACCCTGTACTATGCCAGTCTTGACTTGCAATTATTTGCTGACAAATGTTTCGAATATATTGTTAATGTATCCATGTATCACATTCCCATAGATTCCATTCCATGCTTCTTCAACTAACTATTCTTTTACTACAGACCACGAGAAAGAACACATTCTGAAGTACAAAAAGAACTGAGTTCTCACTTTTGCAACCCTTTTTTGCGAAAATAATAGCAGAAGAAAAAGGTTCAAGTGGAAAAATAAATCAGATTTTTATTTTTCATTTTTTCGTCTTTCGTACAATCTCCGTCGTTTTCTTGATTTACCTTCTGAAATTAAAGTTTAGGTATGGTTTTGTAGAGTATTTCGCGGCGCATCTTTTTAAGAAAAACATTAACCTTTGGATCCTAAAGAAATACGAGAAAAATAGAAAACACTGAGAGGCCGTACCTGTTACAATTCCTGACAGTGTGGAGACATATCCCGATTGGGATATCATTCATTGCAGCAAAATTTTTTCTATATCCCGAACGGGATATAGTTTGAAATTATATCCCGATCAGGATATAATTCGATATCCCGATTGGGATATCAAGAAAATCTATATCCCAATCAGGATATCAAGAATTTTAATTTCTAACTTGTAAGAAAATAATAAATTTTAATTATATGAGAGCTGAATATTCTTCTCCTTCTTTATTCCCCCTCTCTAATGTTCCTAGTAGTGTCTTTTGCTTTCTCCAGCTGATCGAAGAGACACATATATCTTTTTAACAGACGTAAATAGATTTCTTCTATTAGACATCTTTCATATGTGAGTGTAGTATAAAATATAATAGAAGATAGAAGACAAAGTCGTTACCACGCACAGTTTCATCTACCATACATATGTAACGTTCTTTTCTTCTTCGTCTTCTTATAACTATCAATAATTCACTTGATTCAATTATGCCTCCCAAAACATCAATGCAAAAACACCATACGGATCCAATCGTTACAAAATTTAAGTTTCATAAATTGAAGCGTGCTCAAAGAACATAGGACAGTTTATCTGCAAGAACGGATAGTTAGAAAATTTTCCGTTAAACACAAAGCACGTATATTTATATATTGTCAACGCATGAGAAAAGAATTGTGTTTCAATATACGTGGGCATCGAAAAGGAAGAAATAAAAAAGCACGGTCGACATGGAACGATTAGATCAAGAGTATATCCCATTATGAGCAATAAAAGATTAACAGCCTATCTCCTGATCGGAATATAAATTCGACTAAAATTAGTTAACGGGTTTTGTTTGAAAAAATAGTTGCTGGGTGCTTGATACACTTTTGATCAAACACAACAGAATCCGATGTAGTTTTTCGAGCTCTTTCGAATGGTGAAGTCAGTTTTATCCCAAAATGTCGTCATTTTCCCCTTAACCGTTTTTACGACGAAATTTCATGTTTTATATCCCGATCGGGATGCTACTTTTTTTCTATATCCTGATCGGGATATAGCTATATCGCTGCCTGAGAATGTGATAGGTGGGGGGGCATTAATAATATTCAAAATTTTTGCTAGTAAATAATTTCGAGTCCAGGCTGGGAAAGTAGAGGCTAACAGAGAATTTCAAGCGCTATCAGAATATATAATTACTTTTCTAAAAATGTAAATTTATAGTATTGATATGTTAAAAATATCGAGACCAACTATTTTTTTCCAGACGGATATATACATTCCCTATAAAGATAACGAAGCCTTCAGTTACAATATTAGCTGAGTCCCGTTAAAACTTATATCGCTACCTGGAGCCCGCTTGAACCCCGCATTACAGAACATAAATTTAGGTTCATGAGTCTTTTTCTTAATAATTTAATTTTGCATTGAAGACCTGTCTTCGTTTCTGGGAAATGTTCCAGAAGCTACCAAAACCTTTTAGAACTTTTTAAAGGAGTTAAGGTTGATGGTTAATGATTTTCTTCATGGTACAGTTGTTGTTGTAAGTCATTGCTTTTGTTGTAGGGACAAGCAAAAGCCATAATGAAAGGATGGAAAACTGCATCTTCGACGTTTATTTTGCGTTAGTTCGATCGCAACCTCATTGATGCATATTCAGGCCCGTAGACGGAGATTTTTCTAGGAGGAGACCCAAATTTCTGACGATGATGATGCAAATAATGACACGAGAGGATTTTACAATCGAGAAAACGTTATTTTTGATGATGAATTTCAGCGAATTGAAAATATAAAGAAAAGAACAATGTCAAATCAATCAAAATGTAGCGGTAGAAGACTTTGTCTCAAATAAGATAATGCATTTTGGTTTAATTTTGTGAGGAAATGGATAATGTACGTGTGAAGCAATGCAGACATTGCAAAATTCATAATAAAAAAGTCGTCACTTGGTATTTGAATAAAAGGACAAACATTTTCGAAATAACGTCATAGAGTGCCTCGGGGTAATTCTGGTCAGTGAACGGTTGCCGTTGGGGTAATTCCGGTCAACACAGCCAAAATGAATAGACTCAAACTAGACACACTAAGTAAAATTACTCGTAATGTGATCATATTAACAAATTTATTGTGAAAATGATATTTGGTGAAATTGTAACTTCTGAATCAAATACCTTAAAGCAGCATACAAACGAGAAATTTTCCTAGATTTCACGCGAGAAATATAAACTTTTTCTTATATTACTGATATTTATCCTACATATACGAGTGCAGTGCGAAGAGTTACCTAAAGGTTAACCTCGTTCGAACTTTGTAAAAATGTGCAGCTACAATGTGTAGTCGCAGTCCATGCTACTGGAATCTATCACTTTTGCTTTTCTGTTAAGGTTCGGTGCCCGTATTGGTATCAGAGACCGAATCGGGTCTTAGGTGGATGACTCGAAGGCTTTTCGACCCTATCCGATCCGACCCGAAAAATGTTCGAAACTTGACCCGAATGACCCAAAAAGTTTTCTTAGATGACCTAACAATTTTTTCTGAAAAAAGAGCAGAAGTCTGTAGCTTTTGTAATAGCGAAAAACATTTCTTAGATTTTTTCTCCAAGTAGTGGTTCATTCAGATCGTGATAACCCGAAACAGGAAATCGTTTTTCTCGATCGTATATTGTCATGAAGTTTAATCATCATAATGCGGCGCATATTTAAGTCGTTCGTTTTTTTTCTTTTCTTTCTCTGCTTTAATAGTGCGACACTGTACAGTGCACATTACATAGCGTCAAAGCAGGAAGGAAAAAACACAAGTACTTTTTTTTGCGATAAAAAAGACACATGTTGGAAAATAGATGAGTGAACCGTAATTTAAGAAAATCCCTTAATTTGTTTTCTAGTGGCAACACCCGAATAAAACACGAATTTTGTTTCCTGTGGCCCGACACAAATCAATATTGTTTACATTGACCCAAACCGTTTCGGTCTCTGTGAGGTATGCTTTTAAGTTAAAAAGCTTTTAATGTTGAAAATTTTTTAACATGTATTTTAAAAACGTACATCAGCCAGATTTTACAATGGTGTCTTTTCACTGCTATACAATATGACCTCAATATCAATAAAAAATTTGTTAATTCGCATAAACCTTACGATACAGGCGGGCTACATCGAATTCTCAAAGTACTATGACCCTTCAAAAAGACTATTTTAGTCACACCTGTCTGGATTTTCTGGGTCAAAACCACGCATAACTCTATTGAGTTTATAACAAAAACATCATTATCGTCAGACTCAAAAGCAGAGAGGCCGCGAAGTAGAAGAAGCAGGGACGGGTATCTCCGAATGAGAGTAAATATCTGATTTGTCTAAAAATACGCAAGATTTGACATACAAAATGCTCCCACATATAACTCCTTTGAGCTTAAGAGTAAAGGGTACTGATTTATCGTCATAACCTAAGCCTCAAACTTTGACTTTGGAAGTAAACTCAGCGAACGAACACAGGCGTGTTGATCCGAAGAGCCAAGGCTTTATCTGCGGGATTTGGGAGCAAAGTCAGTGAAAGAGAGCAAGAAGAGTGCAAAGCCTTCAAAATGCGAAAAAAAAATGCAAGTAGCAGGTTTAAATCAAAGATCAAAATGCGTAGCAGATTTTCTTGTAAACAAAAAACAGAAAATGTGTTGGTGTTTACTCCTAAGTCGAGAGTATTTTTAATGAGTAATTAACTACTGCTCATTAAGCAGCATCAAATCAAAGCTCAGTTTTCCGTCATCATTTTCATATGCTGTTATCTTTATTGGCATAAGCCAGATAGTACTGATTATTGATCTCAAATTAAGAACAAAAACTTATTGGATTTTGTTTTTGGATAATTTTGTTAGAGAATATTTTTCATGGCTACGAGCTATAAGATTTTGCTTGGTTTACAAACTCGTTTTTTCTAAATAAAAAACATAACTGTAAGAAATTCATGGCTCACGTTTAAAATTGTATCGTATCTATTTTCAAATTGATTTTTGTGAGAACAATTATTAACTAATTCTATTTGAGCTTTTCTATTGTAATACAAACCATAGTCAAGTGACGGTGTGATGCACAAAGTACTTCATGTTTCTTTAACTGTCAATTCAATGAAGTTTTGCAACGTGGGTATAAGTGTGAAGTTCATCGACTAACAAGTCAACTTCGACAATCTCTTTGCTGAATGTGATCGGTGATCAACACAAATGTCGTATTTTCTTCTATTCAAACAGCACAGTACATATTCTAAAGCTCATTCAAGTTCGAATTTGGTAGCCGTGAAAACGGCTGATTGGTTTTTTGTTTGTTTTTAGAGCAACTGTTTATGCTCGTTCACCGCGAATTCGTCGTGCTAGTTGGATATCCTTTGGCATGATTGTTACACGTTTAGCATGGATTGCACACAAATTTGTATCTTCAAATAAACCGACTAAGTATGATTCACATGCTTCCTGTAATGCCATAATTGCTGATGATTGAAAACGTAAATCAGTTTTGAAATCTTGAGCAATTTCACGAACCAAACGTTGAAATGGTAATTTACGAATGAGCAATTCGGTTGATTTTTGATATCGACGAATTTCACGAAGAGCTACTGTACCTGGTCGAAAACGATGGGGTTTTTTAATACCACCAGTCTAAAACAGTTGAAAGTTTTTGATTAATAAAGATATTTCTACGTCCGAATACTGACAAATTCAATACAAAATACTTACAGCTGGAGCCGACTTTCTTGCTGCTTTTGTTGCAAGTTGTTTTCGTGGGGCTTTGCCTCCTGTCGATTTACGAGCGGTTTGTTTTGTACGAGCCATTTAGTATGTTTGATATGAACTTCTGTGATAAAGAATGTAATGCAGATGTAAAATGGTTCCTTCGGGTTAACGATGAGATGAGATTTAAACTTAGACACTGGCTATATATAGTTTGTGAGACGAAGAACAAGAAAAACAAAAGCATTCCTTTTTATTGGTTGTCTAAATTTGGACGAAACTGGACACACTTTCTTTTCCCTTACCACAAAACATATGCACACATATGTCGTGCACAAAAGAGAAACGAAAAAAGAAATCACCGTGCACCGCAACTATAAAAGGCAGTGTCTGCTCTCAAAATTTTATCATTCTAACTGTTTCATCGAACGTACGCAGCACTTTACACTTACACTTTTAAACACATTTATTATCTTTAATAATCATGTCAGGACGCGGAAAAGGTGTGTTGACGAAAAATACAAACTATTTGAGATATATCGAGCGTGTTTTCTTAATTTAGGTGGTAAAGGTCTTGGAAAAGGTGGTGCCAAACGTCATCGAAAAGTATTGCGTGATAACATTCAAGGCATTACAAAACCAGCAATTCGTCGTTTAGCCCGACGTGGTGGTGTTAAACGTATTAGTGGATTGATCTATGAAGAAGTACGAGGTGTATTAAAAATATTTTTGGAAAATGTTATTCGTGATGCCGTAACATATACCGAACATGCAAAACGTAAAACGGTTACAGCAATGGACGTTGTTTATGCATTAAAACGACAAGGTCGTACATTGTATGGATTTGGAGGTTAAAACATTTAACAACACCCGTTAACAAAGAAAATTAAACCAATCAGCCGTCTTCACGGCTACAATTTTCTAACTCACATGAATTGTTCATATGAACTGTGCTTATCTAGCACTATAAAACAAAACTTCATTTTGTCTGCAATAATTGACAAGACTACTTTTATATATTGTGTGACTCGAAGCGAAGACAATTTTCGCCAAAACTTGAGAGAACAACGATGTACTAGCGATGCATTATAATGACAACCTGATCAGATGGAATCGTGCAATAAACTAACACTTCATGCTGTTGAGCTCAAATATGTTTTTTTTAAAAGTTATTGCACGTATTCATCCTTTACCTTTCAGTTTTAAATAGAGAAGAATCTTGAATATAATATTCCTAAATTGCTTTAAACAAAAAATCAAGGGATCGACCTTGCAGTGACGATAAAGCTGTTTTACAATACTTTCAGTTTCATTTGAGAAGTATTTAATTAACATTATAGAAGTTTCCATTTTCAAAATGCTCAATTTAGGTCGCAAAACAGGGACGTCTATCCTGTAGGACGTTTCAGATACAAAATAGGTATGATGTAAGAATTCATTGTCCAGGTGGTGCATGGAAGACTCGAACCTCCGAGGTTGTACAAAAGGCCTCAAATGCGTAGGTGCGGATAGATGCTGCTGCACAAAAAGAACCTTTCTCAGATAGAAAACTGATTGTTCGGATCGGTGCTGAGATTTTAATCACCCTCCGTTTCAGAATTTGATTCATTTTACTTTACTCTGCCCAGAAAATCCATTCGTTTTTTTAATTGAAACTGCAACAGCGTCAGAAAAATCTTTGACTATGGTTTATAACAGACTCGACTTATACCTTTTTCTTGACCCTGCAAGCATTGGAAGGCAGAAAAGTGTTATTTATTACCCTTTATTTTCCTGGAAACTGCTGTGGCGATTGCAACGTCGTCTGACGCACAACTAAATTAATATATATTTATTTCCGAGCAGACGTGAGCAAACCAGACCATTTTTAAGCCCAGCAGAATTTTTTTAACTGCTTGGACTTCAAATGGACTTGGCAAAAAAATCCGCGAGTGCAAGTCCAGTCCGTTGAAAAAAGCTTCAAGTCAGAAGTTGGACTTGCCCAGCTGTTGCGTCAATTAAATTTCGTTAGCTTGATGAATGAATGAGTATTTTGAATTTAAAAGAGACAACGTGCGTTTCTTTTCCTTAGGACACGAATTTTCTGAAATGTATGTAAGTCCGTATTAAAAGAGAATCTAAGTGGTGTTCTAGCAGTTTGCTAGGCTATGACTCAGAGACATTTCCAAATTAAACGATGTTATTTTACGGAAGATTTTGTTATATCAGCTATTAAAAGAACAATGATTGTTGTGAAAAATCATCAACCTTACTTACTGGACACACTTCAATCAATCACTGAGTTTCTTTGACGGAAGTTTTTATAAAATTCTTCAGATTATTAGAATTGACTGATATACGACGTTCGTTTCCTTCTCAGTTTTTGTTCTTTCCAATATGACGAATCGTTGTTTAATCTAATAATCCATCTTTTTTACACCTTTCTCTTTTCTGTTCAAGAATTGTTGCCTTTATTTCTCTATGTACAGCAATAATATATAGTGTCATATTTAAACGAGCGGAGAGAACAAAAGTTAAAAAAGAAAAGTTATCCCAGTCAACTATATTCTTTTTTTGAAAATGTTTCAGTCAAAACTATAAGAACCTATATTGTACTTCAAGAATTGAAACTAGTTGACAAAAGTGATCCAATCAATTTTTATCATTAACAAAATTGCAAGTTCAATCACACTCAAGTTGAAGAAAATCCATTTCAGATAGCATGATAAGGAAAGCACGCCACTTCAACAATAATTGTAGACGTAAGAACGGCTGTCAGGTTTTGAACTCACTGACGATCGTGATAATTAGACTCTTTGCGCAACAACAAGACTTTTTTAGATATTCCTACATGTATAGCTGATAAATCAGTTTGACCGCTAGTAGTGAATTTGTTTGTTAAAAATGTTTGATTGATATTTGGTAAAAAACACCAGCTGGCCTGAGAAATACAGGATTGGAGAGAACGAAGTTTCTTTCTAACAATTTTTTTCTAAAAGCTAACAGCTTTCCCACAAAAAATTTCGAGAGACGGGTTCATTTGACTGATGAAAAAAATTATTTCCAATTATTTAGGGGGGTTAGCCGCTCAACCGGTACCAGATAAACCCGTGAATGCAAAACAAAAGAACCCTAGAATTTGGAAATGTTTTCTCTTGTCCATCGAAATGTGTTACCTATAAACTTTTTCAGAATAATTTCCACAGCGCAAATGGCGATAACTACGTGAAAGAGGAAAATGTAAACCTGCATGAACCGAACGAGTTTCACGCGCTTTACCATCTATAATGGCACAAATTTTTACTCGACATAACATTTTTTGTTATGATTACAATTGCATGTTAGAGAAAGAAATGTATGTGTGCTGAACGTAGACGCAAGTGAAATGAAGGAAGGAAATGATATTCAGTATATATAGTCAAAAAGAGAAGAGAATTAAGACCAACCAACATCCTCTTTTCCGTTGATGCACATGTGCGCCGTAATGCGACGAGAAAAACAGACGATTTTCATTTGACATTTCTCTTCTTTTTTCTGACTATAAATATATAATGTTTGCTTTCAATTGTATCTCATTCTGCTATTGTAATCATTAGTGTACAACATATCTTTCTCATAAGCTGTTTTCACTAAACGTAAGTTAATTAAATATTTTGCTATGGCACCCAAAACTCAAACACCAAGTAAAGGTTCAAAAAAGGCTGTTACAAAGTCATCCAAGGGCCAAAAAGGTGATAAAAAAGTTCGACGACGAAGAAAGGAAACATATTCTATCTATATTTACAAAGTTTTAAAACAAGTTCATCCCGATACAGGTTTGTAGATAAGAAGACTTAAGGGTTAATCAATTTCTTACTTTTCGATTTCTTTCTGCAGGTATCAGTTCAAAAGCAATGAGTATAATGAACTCATTCGTGAATGATATTTTTGAACGTATTGCTGCTGAATCAAGTCGTTTGTCTCATTACAATAAACGTTCAACAATATCAAGTCGAGAAATACAGACAGCCGTACGTCTATTATTACCGGGAGAACTCGCCAAACATGCTGTTTCAGAAGGTACAAAAGCTGTTACAAAATATACAAGTGCAAAATAAAATTTGTAAAATTGTCTCCAAAATCGAAAACCCAACAGCCGTTTTCACGGCTAACTGATTTAGAAATCTCATATTTGTATAATGATTATGCTATTTTGTAGAAGTTGAAAATCGATTGTATTGTGTATGTAATATGTAATAAATAAGTGGTATTTAGTATGGAATATCTGATCCAAGAATTAAGTCCGAGATGAATTCTCATAAAGGGGCGTATGAGAGAAAGGTTAGAGATAGCGTACTCTGTTCACTTTATGTTTGTCAAAGGTGGTTCGGATTGTGCAAAAAATTTTCAGACGTTTTACTAGGAAAATGTTTTAGAATCTTATGCAATTCATGAAAATCAAGTATAATCCATCAAACGTTCACTTTCTAAAATAGTTTTCTCTGATATCTTTGTTTTATTCGTACAGAATAGCTGTTTCTTGTGAAAATAAATGTTATACTTATAATACTAAGGTAAGAACGGACCTTAATAATGTAAATGAGAACTTGTATGTGAAGGTGTGTCAACTGATGAAAAGTTCTTCCATTTATCCGGTCTCAATAAGAAAGGAATCTTCGTTTTTGGCCATTCGTCGATTGTAATAGTAAATCATACGAAGCGGGACTTCACCTGAAAAACATACTCTACTCCTATTATGGCCTGCCAAAATTTACAAAAAGTTCAAAGTTTTCTGCCTCGAGATAAGACCGCTGCTATTTCAAGACTTCCATTATTTGAAATGGGACGATAGACTCTTTGAAAGCAATACTTAAAGGAGCAGTATTACGAAATTTTTTTGCACTAACAGTAAAAAACTTTATTTTCGTGGATCCTAATTCTATTCTGTCCAGGGATTTGTTACCAGTCTTGGACTAATATGATGCTTCAACATATTAGTAGACATTTAGAGTAAGATGGCTTAGTTTTTATTGTTATTAGATAATTAAATTTCATGAAGTCTATGAAGAACAGAATGTTGAGTTAGTTATTTTCTGAAGATTTCTTTCTCATAGAACTCAAATTAATACGAAAAGACAATCTGAAACTTTCAGAAGGCTTAATTTTAGCATTCAAAGAGCTGTTTTCGCATTGTACTGTATGTCCTTTGCCAAGGTGTAGAAATGTTCGAGTACATTTTGGTTTTTTATCTCTATAATTGTTTTTTTATCAGCAACAGTTGTATTCTCAAATTAAAAATAAAACAAAAATTTAGAAAAATATAAAAACACTGGAAGAATTCTAAAATAATATTGAAAACAATCAAATCATTAAATCGATCCAAATATCATCCATCTGGATTTGACCACATCCAATTCATAACTCCGATCATTGCAGCAGCAGTTGATTTCGTTAATCTTTTTTCTAACAAAAAGAGACGAAAATAGAAATAAACAAGAAAAAGAGTTAACAATACGAAACATCTTCCTGTAGCAGTCTACTCACAAACTTAATGTTCCTGCTGAAGATACATTTTTTTTCTTCAATATATCAGTATGCAAAGAAATTTGCTGTGATATGGATTTGTGAAAAGTAATATAAACTTACAGACTTACGTCTCGATAATTTCTTCAAACGTCGTTCACCTTTAAACATTGCACTCACATAAAATATAATCGAAATAGTTGGAATTAAAAATGATATTCCTATAACAGCCTAAAATATTCAAAAGGCATCAAACAATCCTCGCAGGTAGTCGCAAAATTTTTTTTGATTTTTACCATATAATCTGGATCGTGTCTTTTGCAACCAAATTGTTTACTCCACATCAAACGCGTGTAATTCATCTGAAGAAGACATGATTGATGAATAGAAAAAGAGAGGTAGCTGGGGAAGGATTGCAAATGCGGAGAGAAATAACTTTTCTGGGATAAGAGTACATAAAACGACACTATAAACCGAAGCAAAGGAAAAAATGACTTTAGATGCTTTTAGCTAGTTTCTTTTATGCAGTTCATTCATTTTTCCAATGGAACAAGATCAAGATCTACTTTGTTAAAAAAACTTTCACAATTTACCGTATCTATCAAATCCATACATATACTCGCATTTTTGTGTGTAATATCCAAAAAGAAATTATTTAAATCATTATAAAATGGATGACAAATATTGCAAACAGTTGAATTGATTAATGTCCCATTTGTATCGATTGGCACTATTGGAATAATCCTCTGCAATACAGAGAAAATCAACAACATATAAAACGTTCGGGCAGCATTCATTCATTTGGCAGAGAAACTTACACCCGTCACATTGAATACACAACTATCTAATGAGGCTTTTTTCCTGAAAAATTTCAACGTATTATTGGCAAATTCAAATTTAACTGTACCATTTACATCAGCATAATATTTGATGCAATCTAAATAAATAAAAAAATTGTCGAATTTCCATTCTAACTGTTAAGACTTTGCCGGAAAGAATATTCTTCCATGACTTTTACATTCCACACAAATAAAACTTTTGTGACATCTGTCCCATTCAGTAAACGAGTTCTATTTTTGAGTACTGTGATATTTCATACCTATTTCTCTCCCATTCACTAATCTGCATCATGAATCAGAAGCTAACCTTATGTGCATCCTACTCTTCCAGCAACAAATAAGTAGAACTGTCTTACAATATGTTTTAATATGAAATCATACTCTAGGATTATGTGCAATTCTTACCACATGAGCGAATAGTATTATGCGATTTCATACGAAATTGCTGATCATCGTACGATCGTACGGCACAAATCCTATAGCATTGTACTTTTCATGCGATTTTCCTATGCATGTTACGTCTGGAAATGTACCAAAATAAATGCGACCACAGAAAAACATCTTGTTTATATCGTTGCTGTAAATTCTATTGTTCATCAGTAAACTAACTAGAACTGTGAAGTAAAGACACGTACACTATTCTCACTAATTACTGGTGTTTAGCTTCATGACGAAAAATGGATCATAATTGTCAAAAAGTGTATCACACAGTGAGACAAATATCTTTAGGTGGGACTACTCACAAAATATGAAATATCCAGTTGTGAATTACAGATACTAAATTACAATCGTATTTGACAAACGACTTGACTATTGCTAGAGGATCTTATTTATTACTTTAACTTGTCTGTTGTGTAAATCATATACTATTTTGTAAAAACTTACTTATTTATACTTTAGATACAAGAAGCGTGTAAGCGTGCCAGATACTTGTTATTTTCAATAAAATAGGAAACCTAACTCTTATCAGAGACACTATTCACTCTATCGTAAGCAAGTTGATTTTGCTAAAATAAAAAGAAATTGGTCATACTTTCACAGAACGATGATGCCCAAACATTTTCAACAAATGCAATTAACTGTGCCACAATTTGAATTGAATCATAATTTTCCAAAAACCCTTGACAAGTAATAAGTCGATCCGGATCAGAATAACTCTACAGAAACAGAAAAACAAAAAACAACTTGTTAATCAAATTTTTGGGACTACATTGAAACTTACTACTATTACTATTTTAACTAACTTTATCTAATAATGATGTTAAATCCTTAAATCGAACAAAATAATCGATGCAACCTTCACATATCTTAAACGGTCGAGAACGCAATACTGAACATTCTAAAAACTGCGATGATAAATCGCTGAGACGATCGAGTAATGCTAGACATGGATTCTGAATAGGATAAATTGCGTCAGTTACATTTTGCTGACAAATTACTTTAGCAAATAGTAGAGTCAATAGTAAGAAATACATTTTGAAGGTTAGGGTTATAAAAGTTTACATTGTGTAAATAAAAAATGTAAATAATCTGTCTAAATAAACTACAGCGAAAATTTAAGTCATCATCGTGACAAATAGGATGAATTATTCGTTCATCGATTAATGAGCCACTCATATTACTGGTAGAGACTCAAACACATTGTATCTACAAAGAAACTTTAATGAATACCGAGAGCATGAATATACCGGCTGATCATAAAAAAATGTCTCTTTTTATGTATTTCAGGTGTGGAATGCTGAACCGAAATTAGCTGTTGTCTAGCGGCATCTAGTGAACTAAAACTATCTTCAAAGCTGACAAAGTTTCAAACAGGCTGAAATATATTAACATATTTCTAATTTTTCAGTTTTCAAACATTTTGAAATTATAATATACAAAAATCTAACACCTTTAAAGTTCAATATTACTTTCAAAGAAAGGATAGGAGCCATAATTCACGCTACATGGTTGCAAAATTTGGATTTATATATGGATCAATACATACTTAAAAACTGCTTCTATATTTTACTCCAGAAAAAATGTTTTCGTAGCTGTTTATAGATTTTACTTGGAAAATGGCTGCTAACCTACACTGCCTATCTCCTCATATCTTGAGCTATTTTCCACGGAATCAGTTATATCGAGATTTTCGCATTTGATTCTTTTTCTCAGAACATTAGTGAATACTTTAGTAGTTTCAAACTTAGATTATAATCAGAACACTACAAGCTAGCTGAATTGTGACACTAGCTCTTATTTTTAGGCATTGAGTGCATTAGAAGGGTGAGTACCTGTGCGGTTGCACTATAGTTCGTTGTACTGCAAGTTGGTGATAGTCAGTTTTCTCAGTACAAAGTGTATTTCAAGTTCCAGTTATCCAATGGATTTTTCCGTTCATCTACAATCTTATTTTCTGCTTCAGATAATGTCGGAGGATAATGAACGGAGAGATGCATCTGGCGAAAACACTGCGGTAAGTCCTTGAATAATACTAATAGACAGAGCAAATGTGTGAAATTCCGTATGCTGTTTTAGACCGACCAACTTTTGATGCAAAGAGCAAATTCAAATACGAACACCGAAACATCAAATAATAATACTGTAGCTATTTCTCAACAGGGTAGTGGTGTTGCTGCTGTTCCTCAACCAGCAGCTCCTGTTCCACGACGTCAATCTGGCTGGGAAGTGTTCAAAACCGTAATATTTCGAATGTTAATGATATATTTTGTCACAAGATTTTTTCGTCGTACACCACAAAATCCCGCAACAAATTCAACATTAACACCCTCATTTGACGGAAGTGGTGCATTCACACCAGGAAATATCTTCCCAAAAGGATCAAAATTGGTAAGAAAAAATGAAAAATTAGCGAAATAGTTTTTCGGACTTTTATTTGTTTTTGTTTATTAGGACATGTATGTTTACATTACAGAAGATCAAATATACAATTTTAATCAAACAAACGAACCATTTTGGTTATTAGAAAATCTTGAATATGGAAATTGGAAAGCAGGACCAAATAGAGATGGAACATTCACAAAATATGGACAAATTCCTATCAGCGAGGTACTTATTCCTTCAAAGAGTTATTTTTGTGAAAGAAAAGTTCATGTTTTACTGATAAATATTGCCGACACCTTTCCTTCAACGTTCGCTTTGTTGAGTCAGAATATTTAATAAGTTAGCAATGCTGAGTTATTGTCAATTTCAAGTTTTGTGGTAGAGATTACACAATTGATAAGCTAGCCAGAGATGAGATCTTTGTACAGCGTTCACTTTGCTCTTCTTCCATGAAACAAATCGATCCTCTCTTATTCTCCATTTGAGAAGTATTCCCTATCATATTTTAGACTGTTCAAAACAATGGTTCATTATACCTTCATGTATTTGTCACTGAACACGGTTATACACCAAATCCGTACGACGGCGATGCCTACTCAAGACGATATTCATTCTCAAAAACAAAACGTTCGTATATTTAAAACACCGATTTATTTATTACTTTGTGGATAATCTTTTTGTTTTTGTTTTGTAGGTTTGAATAAATTCAAAAAAAAAGTATATAAAAAAACAAAAAACTTGCTAACTGGAAATACAGAACACAATGAAGAATATCAAAGAGTAAGTCTTCTCATTCATTTGCTTGACTACAGTTTTAAGTCAGAAATAGTTAGAATTGACAGATAAAATTTTATTTGAAGAAGAAAAACACAAATCCAAAGGAGTATTCACGGTAATAAACTGTTATATTTGTTGTTTGTTTAGAAAGCCGATGATAAAATCGTGGAACTTCTATCTCATTGGCATCCAAATCTAACAATAAATCTTCTTGATGATCATTCACCATGGACAAAAGGCTCAATTCCTCCACCTTTAGATCAATGCAAGCCTTTGTATTTCATTCATTTTTTATTATGACCATATTTACATCCTTTCAGATATTGAATTTGATATGTTAAGTGGAAAATATTATCCGGTTTTATATTTAAATGATTATTGGAACCTTCTATCAGATTATGATCCAATCAATAACACCATTGAGTATGTAGACTTGCAAGTGGACTTTTAGAAAGTTTTATTTTTAGCGTTTTTTGTGTAAACGGTTTCGCATACTGAAAATTGACATTCAACTCTGAGTTTTATGAGAACTATCTTCGAAATAATATTGCAATAAGTTTGGTACAGTAGTACATTTTTAAGATACAAACTGTAGACAGCTTATGCTTTCTCATTTTAGAAGCATTTAAAATTATAAATTTTCTTTATTTTAGCGCATTAAACTTGACCTTAACCTATTCTCCATTACAACTATGGAAATGGCAAATGTATATCTCTCAACATTTGAGACAATCCTGGTATGGTAATCTATTAGGTGATGATGAATCAGATGACGATCAAGATGCAATGAAGGTAAAGAGCCTATTGAGGTGTTTTATTTCTTAAGTAATTTCTTTTCTTATTCTGCTAGCGTGCATTAATCGAAACAAATCCTTATTTATTGATTATTACAATTTGCGTTTCTATTGTACATACGGTATTCGAAATATTAGCATTTAAAAACGGTAAGTGATTGATTGAAAATGAATACCGTGTAAATTTCTCACTATTTTTAGATATTCAGTTTTGGCGTACTCGAAAATCATTAGAAGGTTTATCTGTTCGTAGCATATTTTTCAATATATTTCAAAGTGCAATAGTGTTGCTATATGTGTTTGACAATGAAACAAATACAATGGTTCGAATTAGTGTGTTTGTTGGAATATTAATTGAACTTTGGAAAATACCAAAAATTCTTACATTTGCTGTGAGTTGTTAACGTAATCTTTTTATTTGTTGTAGTAGATAGTCAAGATTACTGTAAGATTAACTAGACTCACATCTTTTCATTTATTTAGCGTATACCAGGTGAAACTTGGTTCGGTTGCATTCCTAAATTTAAATATGTTTATAAACCGTCTTACACGGAAACTTCTACAAGTGATTATGATCAAGTAAGGTGGAGTCGAATGAGTACGTCATTCATTTTTTACTGTCTGTTTTGTTTAGAAAGCGTTTCGTTATTTATCGTGGGCATTATTTCCACTAGTAATTGGTTATGCTATTTATTCATTAATGTATCACGAACATAAGAGTTGGTATTCATTTGTACTAAGTACAATTTATGGATTTCTACTCACATTTGGTAAGTTTTGCAGGATGTTTTTCGTAGTACGAGCATAAAGCTATTCATATAATCTGTTCAACTCAATACGCTGCTGTAGATATGGCTTTTCTACTTATATTTCTTTCTATTTTCTTGCCATTAAGGTTTTATAATGATGACACCGCAATTATTCATTAATTATAAATTAAAATCTGTTGCACATCTACCATGGCGAATGATGACATACAAAGCATTAAATACGTTTATTGACGATATGTTTGCGTTTGTTATTAAAATGCCCACAATGTATCGAATTGGATGTTTTCGAGATGGTAAGCTAGATATTATTACATTATGAGACGCTCTCATTTTGTCTCAAAAAATATTAGAAAATCTTTGCTCATGAAGTTACAATCAACCGTATTTTAAGAGTTAGAATACGTTCTAGCATTCATTCAGTTTAAACATCAATTATTCTTTATATTATTATTTTTTCTTTTTAGATATTATATTTTTTATCTATTTATACCAACGTTACATTTATCCTGTTGATCGTCGTCGAACCAATGAATTTGGCACATCAGGCGAGAATGAAACAGGTGCACCTGCTCTCCAGAATGAACTAGAACATCAACAAGATCAATCTGATTTACAACAACCAGACGTTTCTTCTAATTCACCTCCTGATGTTGATTCAGAATACATCATTATACCTCCGTCTAAAGAAACAGAAACAATTCGGCATCGAAATATATTAGAGTCAGATGAACAGACAATAACTGATCCTGTCGATGATCTACACCAGCAGACACCTAATCTACATCAAAATGACGGTGATGTAGAAGATCAACATAAAAAAACAGACTAATTTTTTAGCCGTTTTTTTACTGTTGTCTATACGTTCTTTTTTCCGTCAGTCATTTGTTTATGTATTAGTACTCTGTATGGGTACTCTATTTAAGTCATAAATTCTCATGTTGTTGTAACGCATTTTTCAATAAAGTTTTGTAAAATTGTCATAACATAATCTTTAATTTCATCCTACTTATAGAATATCATTAACAAGAAAACTTCTTTTTTTCATTTTATATAATTGTTATTAGTTCTATTGTTTAGATATAGACTATCCTTGAGAATGTTTTGGAATCATTGTTACTGTTAAGTAACTGATATAGAGAATGTTTTCATTTACAATTCGTTCATTGAAAACAACTAAAACTTGTTTTCGATGTCTAATAACTCATGTTCAATTTCGTAGTGGTATGTGTTTAATTTAATTAACTATCTTTTCTTATATTTTTCTATTATTTTATTATTTAGAAACAACTACCACAATTTCAAAACGAGATCCAGGTGATTATTTCATTCGTAAAGATGTACAAGATTTATTAACAAATATAACCGGATTTGATTTAAATAAAATATTTCACGTTAAAAATAATAAAGATATGCAACGAACAACATATAAATTTATGACAGATAAACAACTCAAAGAAGTAAGTAGATGATAGCTCATTTCACACAGAATAAGTGACAGTCTCTTTATAATTTATATTAACTTTTCTTTATTTCTATCCACCATACGCTCGTGATTAGGCTTTCGAAGGATGTAGTGCTTTTAAGTCATTAGACTAGTACTTCGGTACGTTTTGTGCAAATTCTCAGCTGATGAGAAAGAACTAAGCGATTCAAGTATTGAATGAGACATGCACACAGACTATACTAACATATTCTGAAAATATAGATGATTTCCTTTCTCTCATTTTTGCGTTCTTTTCTTCCAAAAAGAAAACAAGTACTATAGTGAGGAAATTGTTTTTGTTTTATTCCAATAGGAACAAATTCAGACAATTGAACGAGCACGATCTAAGCTACAAATGGCACCCGTATTGAGCGAAGCGATTGAAAATGTTGAAATATTAGAGAAAAATCCAATGTTGAAAGATTTTTCTAAAAGTAAACATTTATTTATTGATATCTCGTTGGGTATACCGATTCGAGTAAGAACGAGACAATAACGTCAATAAAAAGAGATCTTTAGTAACAGTTTTTTCTTATTAAGGATCGTATGATTGTTGCGAGAGAAACAGATGGTACATTAAGAACAGCTACCCTTGATGAACAATCACGAATGAGACAGATTTATTATCCAGTACCAGGACGAGAATTAATTATGCCCAAAATGTTTGAAGAAGCAAAATTAGAAGTATGTGCGTATGATATGTGCCAAAAAGTGAAAACTAAGCCTATTTCTAAACAGTATTCACGTACCCCATGTCCGTTCCATGAACTAACCCCTTTTCATTTTAGAAAGTATTAGAACGTGGTGATTATTTGTTTATACTTGATCGAGCTTGCGCTCAATTTGAACCAGACGACCGTGAGTATATACGTGTAAGTTTTTTTCATTCTGTTTTATCTTCACTTCAGCTATATACTGTGACTATAACTAAATTTCTATTAAAATAAAACCAATGTTATTTTTTGCAGGTTATACAAACAACATACGAACATATTGAAAAAACAAATTCCTATGATCTTCTTCGGTCGACTCGGCATTTTGGATCAATGGCATTTTACTTCATATGGTACAAAAAAATTGATCGTCTACTAAATGATATGATCAGGAGAGAGTTGTAAGTATTATTAAAAACGAAAAGAACTACATTATATTCTAAAGCGTAGTAACTAGTCTTTTTTGAAATGTACATAAAACCGACAACAATTGTTCGGGAAAAATAAATATCTTATTGATCCAGAGTATAAATCATATTGAGTTATAGTAATAAAAGTAATTATTGTGTCAAATTTTATTTCTCAGAATGACCGATGCAGTAGCCCTTATTCAGTTATATGGTATTATTCATCCAGACACAAAAGTTTCTCGATATGATTTTGCTCAAACTCAACCTTCTGATATAATTCAGGTATATATTTTTTTTTCTATAGCTGTTTTTTGTATTTTAAAACTGTCTGTTTTAGTCTTTTGCTGATGATGAAGCACGAATACCAGGTTTACTTCAAGAAGCACTTCGGCAATTACAACAACCAATAGCAGCAGCTGCTAATCGATAATAGACACAATTTGTTATTTTTTATTCTTTTTGTTATATTGTAGAAAGTTTTTTCTTTTGTGTGCACCTTGTTATTTAGATTTTTGACTAATATGTTGCTTAATCTTAATTTTTTTATCTGTTTTCAAGCTAAAATAAGCTCTGTCAAATTTCTCTCAACAATGACTAAATTTGAATTTTTATTTTAGATATTTTTCGCCCCGTGTGCGCGTTAAATTTTTAAAATTATAAAAAAAGACAAAACATACAATCATGGTTCGAATGAATGCGTTAGCCGATGCTTTAAAATCCATAAATAATGCTGAGAAACGTCATAAACGACAGGTTTTAATACGACCATGTTCAAAAGTTATTGTCAAATTTTTAACTGTTATGATGAAACATGGTAAGTTCACCTGTTTTCAGAAACTTGGCAGATGGTCTAATATTTAAATCGAGTTATATAAGAAACATTTAATAGATGGTACTACGCATTTTTCTATCAGAATTTTAGTAGAATGTTTCTTTTACTATCTGATACACTTAAGCATTTTTTATTTTATTTCCTTCGATTTCAGGTTATATTGGCGAATTTGAAATTGTTGATGATCATCGTGCAGGAAAAATTGTCGTGAATTTAAATGGTCGATTAAACAAAGTATGTCTTTTACTATACATCCATAAAAATCATCTGAAGATTATTATTTTATTCTTTGATTTCTAGTGCGGTGTAATCAGTCCTCGTTTTGATTGTACATTAAGAGAAATTGAAACATGGACAAAAAATCTTTTACCATCACGTCAATTTGGGTATGTCGAAACATTTTTATTTTAGTCTTTTAAAAAAGAGTATAATTTTTTTTATTTATTTTTAGTTTTATTGTCTTAACAACATCTCATGGAATACTGGATCATGAAGAGGCAAGAAGAAAACATACGGGTGGAAAAGTATTGGGCTTCTTTTTCTAAATATTAGGCTCAGAAAATTAGGTCAATAACAACAACAACACCAATAACAACAACAGCAAATTGTTTTAGAATTCCGTTTTTTGTTTTCATTTGTTTTGTACTGCCTTTTATGTTGAAAAAAAACGTAAAAATAAAACCATAATATTATTGTAAGAAGAAAATATCGTGAAAAGAATTGAATAAAACAATAATAACATCAACATATGTATATATATCAGCTGTTTTAAAATAGTCTTTAGAAAACGGCATTTAAGATTTAAAAAAGACGCAAAATCACAAATGGTAATATAGGGTTGACCGATTTAAAATCAAATCTCCACTAGACATAAACTAATTTCAGTCTTGCTCTACATTTTATGCTTCATAATGGAATATTAAACGTAAACTCGTTAACGATATATGTCCAGAAACATGTGCTAACATGATGAAGCGAAAAACTCTTAGATAAGAGTAACTTATAAGAGATAAGAATAACTTATACGTGTTTCCAAAGAATATCTGATTTTATCGATGAAAAATGGAAGATTTTGACTACATACAGACATCCTTTTCAACTAAAAATATATATGATATTTTCACTCGCGATGAAAAATGACAAAGTTTTACATTTTAAAGAATAAACAGTCAAACTTATACTTTTATTGTGATTTAATTGATTGAGATTTTAAAAATTTCAAAAATAGTCTCTCATTTGAACATTATAGGTACATCTTGATAAACATAAGTCGTTGTTTGATCTTTAATACTAATTCTATTCAAAACTAATTTTTGTCCAAATGAAGCGTAAAGAATAGGTGTTATATCTAATTGAAGTAGCATGGCTTCAAGATACAAGAAATTTATTTGTTTATCCATGTCTGGAACTCTTAACTTTTTTTTTCTTCCTTATCAAACAATAGAAAGCCAATTAAAAATGTCTCTTTACACGGTGAATGCTCATTTTTATATTGACATTTTGAAGAAATATAGAAGTTTCTTTTTGTCTTTGTCATAGTGTACTGATTAGGCTTAAACAAACTTTGTATTTTGAAAGTAATATGTGTTTCATTGTTCATCTAAGAGGTGATACTATTAAGCTTGAAGTTCTTAGCATACGAATAAAATCAAACAATAATAAGACAGATGAACAACATACTAGAGAATAAATAGGGAGAATTCAAGTGTTGTTCATCTATAAAAAGAAAACGTAGAGATCAACTGTTAACGAATCGGAGCGTTCTAAAAAAATTGAATTGAAAGCTGCACTTTTGCTGAAATGATATTTCGCTATCACTTGTCAAGGTGGATTTCAATTCCAAAAAGAAAGATGATGAGGATGTTCATTTAGAAAATAATCTATTTTTTAATAAAAGACGTAAGCTTGAAGAAAAACAATGTCGATTTTCAAACATATTTCCGTTTGTGATAATTCATTTCTCCACTATAATAGACTGATAGAATAAGAGCAAATATGAATCAAAATAATTGTGACATGTATCTGCGGAAATTTCTTTCTCTCTCTCTCTCTCTTTCGCACCGTGCACACACACATACACACAACCATATATTAGATCTTATCATACCTGGTTTTTTCCTTTTTATTCTCTTACTATAGTAGAGATCTTTTAATTATAATTAAACTTGACAGTAACTAAATATTCGAATACACTACCTTTGAAACTAGTCTAGTTATTATCTTCTTCTGGTAGAAAGAAGGAAAAAAGAAAAGAAGGACTCTCTTCATATATTGTTAAAATGAATGGACTACTTACTTTTTCAACATCTTATGTAAACTAAGTACAACAAAACTTTTCGTTGTACTTATCGTTAATGAGTAGTTGTAGTTACATGAATAAGAAAATAATAATGACTAGTTCTATGCTTGAGTATAGAGAATATAAAAAAAAAAGAGTATTATATTTTATAAAGTATAGTGTGTATTTGAACACTCTAAAACATAACATAAACTAAAAGTCGGTGAGTAAACAGAATGATTAGATCTAAGCTAAATTTAAAGAGCTATGATGAGACAAGAACTATGCTCATATAAAAGTATTTCGAGGTTTGTAAAAAATATAAGTATTTCATCAGTATTTGGACATATATCTTGCATAAAATAAACTTACTCTCATAAGTTTTGGTTAATGGTAATATTAAAATCTGGGTATGATTAATAAGTAGTTATTGCCAGTAAACAAATTTTCTTTATATACGTTTTCTGGAAGTTCTCTATATATTGATTTCAAATATAGTGTAATATAAGTAAGTAGTCGTTTATGTGCGACGACGCTGATATGGTATCATTTCTCTCTCTCTCTCTCTCTCTCTCTCTCTCTCTTTCTCTCTACATTTGTTCGTTTTACTAATGATTGATGAATGTTCTTCTTTTGTATGTATGTTTGATGATATCGGACAAATTCCTACATCTATCATTTATTTATTCATTTATTTTTATCAATCAAAAAGATCTTTTTTGGTTTTTTGTATAGTCTAAAGAACCCTTTATGATATATTGCTTAAAACTAAAAAAGTGTGCATGGATTTTTGTTAGTGAAAAGAAAGAAAGATCAACGAATATCTGTATATTTTCAGATTATTTCTGGACAAGTTGTCTAAAAGATGACATATTTGACTAGTCTTTTTGGTTTTATGGTAAGCTGAGAATTACATTTTGTGATAAATACAATTTAAGTAATCGATAAGAGTTTTATGACATAATGAAATTTTCTTTCACAATAGTTTCAAGTTAACTTTCTTAGAGTGATCGCACACGTGCATTTAATTTCTACAACTCCCCACGATCTCTGAAAAGTCTTGGTGTCGTGAATGATCGCGACACGATAGCTAATAATAAATAGCAATTATGCTATATGATAAGCCACAGTAGGATATTTTTATTTTTAGATAGCAACTACATTAGCGATCATAATAAAATAATACCTAAGCGGCTCGCGTCACGACAATAATAAGAAAGTTGACTTTATAAGATACAATTGGCTTTCCAAACACTTTAACAAAAATAGAGGCGGTATTCTCATGTCATGCCACCAAACATGCTATTTTTTATATGGTAGATTAATTGCGTCGCCGTCATTGTCTATTGGAATAATAAATTTTTTTTTTCTTCTTTATCATCTAATGACTTTATTACAAGTTCTTGAACTACGTGTGTATGGGTACGCGTAATATTTACTAATATGATTAAAACTGTTTCTATCATGCTGTGAACATACAATGTTTCTATTCAATTTCTAATAGAGGATTACAATATGCGCGTGTGTGTGTTATATTCATAGAATCCCTCACACATTATTTTATACTAAACTGTATACATTTATCACTGTGTTTTTGCAAGTTAACAAGAGAATAATAACAATAGAGAGACGAGAGAAAGCTTAGCCTTAATAATCTTATTCAAGAAATTACATGACAATTGTTCTAGTAACATTCTTAACATTTCTCTACGTAGGATTACTGTTGTGCCATTTGATATGTTATCAGATGTAAGTAAATTTTAAGCTTGTTTAATAAGATAAGTCACTATGATGCAGAATGAATGTTTATATGCTGTTGAATAGTATAGTTACTGTCAAAATATTGTTTGAATGTGTGTGTGTGTGTGTGTGTGTGTGTGACACAAGGACATCGATAATGGATCGTTCAATCGATAGATTAATATATGTGTGTTCTCTATACCATATAGGTATTTTAAACTGATCTCTTCAATGTATATCATTCTCTGTACTTTAAACGAGGTAATTTAACTTGATTTACATTTAGAAGAAAAAAAATATTTGAAAAAAGTGTTCAAGTAATGCGTGTATGATGTAATCATCATTCACTAAAACGAAATTTAGCTGCATGAAAAAACTATTTATTTGGATTTTGTGCGATGTTTAGATAAGATATCAGAAAATTCGATATGCAAGAGTATAACTCATCTCGTGTGTGTGTGCGTGTATGTGTGTTTGTGTATACATGTAAAAAAAATAACTGTTTCGGTCTACCGAGACGATTATTAGTTAGATATATATCACTGGCATATCTATGTCGTGTATCTGTACTTTAATTAGGTAATGATTAGTTATAAGTTAGTGTGACTTGTGAAGATGCCAATCAAAGTTAGATGCTTAATGAAACCATAAATAAGCGTTACTCAATAAGTGAACTTGGTCTAAAAATTTTCTTTTTTATTATTCACTGTAGATCGCACCTAAAAGTTAGATAAAAAGCTAGAATAGTAATACGGTGTCTACAGTAGAAAATGATAGAAAGTCGGTATATATATTTGACATGACGAAATCATTTTTGATTTACAACGGGTTGTCATTTTTATTGTCGACTATTGCCATTAATGCGCAAAATATGATAGATGTACCGTACATCAACTTCGTAAGTTATTTCTGATACTTAGAAACCCTTCAAATTGATATAAGTTCTATGTATAAAAAATGATTATAGATAAAAAATGTTGTTTTGAAATTATTACCTTAAATTATTACTTAACTTAATTCATAATGATCTATTGTTAAAAAGTATATGTAAAATTCTTAGTTTTTACAGATGGGCACACTTTTCATGAATGCTAAGATAATCGCATACATAAAATTCATCTTTAACAAAAAAAACTATAAATGTGAACCTTTTTGTTCTCATCACTCAACTTGAACTTGATGATTTGTGTTGTTTTTTTCAAAACTACAATTATTTACCTCTATATTATAAAATCTTTCAAGTGTCTATTTGATTAAGTACATAAACTCACTCGTTTTTAAAAATACTTATCTACTATGTATCCTTAAGCCAACAAAAGTTTATATAAATATTTATATCACCACCCATCATTGATTGTTTAAAGGTTTCACTGCCTTTACTTCACATCACATAGAAAAAAAAGTCCTTCAAACTTCTCTCGTTATTGGCGTGAGAAGTTTTTTTTTTTTTTTGAAATCTCTTGTGTTGATTATTTGATACATTTTTTGTAATCAATCATTTGGATTAGTGACTTTTCAAGAAAAAATAAACTGGCGGTTTTTTTTCTTTTCCCGTTATTTATCGATCAATATTACCACAATTCTACAACAAATTAAAAATAGGATCCTTATATATTGTACAATTCTCTCTGTTACTATATATATATATATAAGCGTTGCACCCATCTCCCACACTTCTATAAAATATACACGCGGCGACATAGCGTATCAATTTTCTTTTTATATATATTTTTAGTCTGCCACTTTTTGTTGGTCCTTTATTCTCATATTATAGTCTAAACGAAATATTGTATACATATAATAGGTAATTTGTACTATTTGACTATAATAATAATAAACAAACCAATATATATTTTTTCCCTATATTTATCTGCACAGATCGTGTGAAGAAATTGACAAACTAATAGTAAGTTAGAGGAAAGTATAGTTAATCTATTACATATGTTTTGTTTTGTTCTGTTGTTTAACAAAAACATAAAAGATCATTTTTCTTGAAAAATTTTTTTTTTTTAATCAAAAGAAAAGGTAGCATTTTGAGAAGATACAAAATTGAATAAAAGAAACGAGTACTGTTAAAACAACTTTTGAATTGATCACAAGTGTTTGAATAGATAACAAAGGATTTGATGAAATAGAGTCAGTAATAATTAAGCATATATTCACACGCACAATAAGATCATGAAGTGGACATTTGCGTCTAGATTGAAGGTGAAACTTGAAGTTAACTGTAGTCAGCTAAGTGTAAATTTTCTTTAACTGTACACAGCTTCATCTGAGTTCAAATATCAGTGATTGATTAAACGCTGTAGTCCCTTTTCTAGCTAGAGAACATAATTTCAATGCGTTTACAATTATATAAATGTACCTTTAATCTAGATGTAATAGAATGCTGTAGTTAGATTCTCTCACTTATCTATTTTTTGATTGAATATGAATAAAAAAACAAAAATAAAGTATATAAATTTTAATAACCACTTGAAATTTTTGGTATCTTCAAATAATAGTCCAAATTATTTCTTCTTTTTTTTTTTTAATTGTGTATAGTAGATGTTGAACTCAACAAGAAATCAATTGTGATTGTTTTCATCTAAATTCAGAAATTCTAACTATATGAGAGTCTATAGTCTCTAACTGCCTTTGTTCGATTATCAAGAGTTTTATATAGAATTAGTAAAGCTTCATGACTATAATAAAACCAAATGATGTTTGTAGATAAACATGAAAAAACATATAAATTGGATAACTAGTAACACCAAAATATGAAAATTTATAAGAGAAGAAAAAGAGCGGAACTTTGTGATTTCTTGTATTACGTGACATTTTCACAATTGTGTATATATGGTTATTTGAACATTGTATATGTATGAAATAATTTTTTCGAAGAACGCGACAGTATATATATATATATATATATATATAGAGCACATACAAAGTCACGTACGAGTCATTTGATTATATTATATTATTATTATTATTATTATTTCTACAATATGATTTTTATTATTCTTGCCATCCATCAATATCATGTGTACATATATAGATAAAATATGATCGGTACCTTGTTGTAAAATTATACCTGTATTTCAGACATACATATAAATATGATATACTTTTATGTTTTTAAAGAAAGAACAATAACAACAAAAAAAAAAAAAAAGCAAAAAAGCAAAAAAAAGAAATCATAAATAGTAGATACTATGAGACGTTAGAAATAGAAAGAGAGCGAGAGAGAAAGAGAGGGATATTTAAAAGTATCTAAATTATTTAAAAATAATTCGATTATAGTTTTGTTACTTCACTATTGTAAAACGGGTACTATTCATGAACTCTAAAAATGAAAGTCGACGTGTCTGTTCATAATTGAAGTAATTTCAAGTTTTTTATATAAAATGTGCTCGACTTTTTGCATTCACACTTGTCTTTTTCATTAATAATTGTGACTTGTTATTTTACAATCATTTAGATAAAGTCGATAGAGAGAGAGAGAGAGAGAGGGAGAGAACGAAAGATTATCGTTACGTCCAGAGTATTTTTTCCTTAATTTTACTCTTTATACACAAGTATTTATCATCTTATTCAGACACTTTATTAATCATCTTAAAAGAGACATAAATCAAGAAACCTTTGAAATAAATTCATTTTTAACAGATTAGAATGAAACCTTGCAAAAGTCTATTGCCATTGTTTTGTCCCTAGATGATATAGACATACATGTATTCAATATATAAAATTTATCATATATTTTGTTTCTATAGAGTTTTATTTTTTATAAGAGAGAGTTATAAAATGAAAAAGAAAAAAATCTATCTTGAATTTTATAAAATATTATTGTAATAATTTACATATGTATTAAACGAGATAATATGATAAAAAACATAGTCTATGATCTAAAAAGTGACAAAAACCAATTAATAAGATGTCAAATAGGAATGTGTGCACTATTGACAACAGAAAATATCAGTGATATTTTAAAAGGATCAATAAAATATTTCATAAGATAGAAATCTTCACTTTTAAAGTGTACAAACAAAAATATTTTATGAATATTATAAGCACAGATAACTACTATAATGATATGAAATTTTATATTGTATAATTGAATCATTAAAAAGAAAACATTGCTATTTAACTAGAAATGATAGATCAATTAACTTTTTATATATATATATATCTATATCTTCTCTCTAGGTCCATGATTCTTTCGTTGAATCTAAAAATGTGATAATAGAAGAACGATCTGTTTTTCTATTATTCAAGGTACAATGCATAACAGAACGCATCATCACTCTTCTCATAGAGTTGTGGAATGAATAAAAAAAGAAAAAAAAAAAAAAAAGAGTAAATGTCCACTAGTACAGAGAGCAGCATCATTACGTTAAAATATTCATTTATGAAATAGTATAAAAAAAAAGAAAGAAAAAGTAGAACAAAGAGAAAAAAAGTAAATGCGTTTTTTTTTATTACAGCATTCATACTAATACACACAAATATATCACATCTACTTTTACAGTTTCTTCCATTTCTCTATCTTTTATGATATTTATACCAGAACGAAATGAAAAATTATTACGTCTAATTTAGAACATTTTGTACTTTTTTTTCCTAACCTTATTATATGATTTAATATAATAGATTTTTATAAAAAGATTCATTGTTTATTCAATTTTAATACAAATGCTTTCCTTTTCTGCTTAATTGTTCATTATTATTTTTTTCTCTCTTTTTTTTTTTAAGAATATGTTCAATATAATCGCTTATCAAACTGGTGCACGATATGAATTCTACACGCTCAAAAATCGTCGTCAGCTTGATTATTATTTTTAAATTTGTATAATATACACATTGATAATATTTTTAGTGTAGAGTAGACGAACGGAGATGTCATCATCGAAGAAAAAACTTGATTTTTTTCGATGTTTACGTTCATCATCGCCTGTTCGTACACAAACGAAAAATGAACAACAAAGATCAAAAGATAGTAGTTATTGTTGTTATTCAACAAAAACAAAGACAGAATTATCATTGTCAACGACAACAACAACATCATCTGGAGCCACCATTGGATACAATACAAAAGGTTTTTTTAAAAGAATTCAATGTTTTAAAGGTAAAAACACGACAATTTTCATACCTATTTTTCACTTTTCGCACGACTGTATATAGTACTGTTAAGAGTATATAATGATATGTTTGATGACGTTTTATTCCCAGATATGTGCGTTTAAAAACAAAATGACATGTAGAATGTAGTAGAAATTCTACTAGGATGTTAAATATTAGGTTAAGTCACTTTTGGTACGCAAGGATTGCACAATTTCATGCGAAAAACATTAGCGATATAACGCGTTTATCAGCACTCAAATTCTTAAATGAGAATTGATGTTTACTCAAAAAAAACCGAGTGCTGAAACCAAATAAAAGGCAAAATAAGCAGATAGGAAACTTAAAATATTCAAAGCGAACATTTCTTTCTAAACGATTGTTGTTTTATAAAACAATAATCGTTATATATATATATATCATGATTCGACGAAGTTTCATGCACTGATTACAAATCTAACAGTTACGTGTCTTTAAAAATAAGTCTGAAGAGTGATTATGGAAAATCACCTAAACAAACATGAGATTTTCAGAAGATAAAGAAGAGATAGCGTGATTTGGCACTAATATCATTGATATGGGACATCTAGATGAACATGCCAACTAACTTTAACAGAATGTCGAAGCTGAGAAATTCATTGCATCGAAAATAGATCTAACCTACACTCTAAAAAGAGTCGTAGATTAATAAACTACAATAAAAGAGTTTTTTGGACTAAAAAAACTGATAAAAAAAACCCAAAGAGTTTTTAATGGGTTTTTAAGGCCAAAAAACTAAAAAGCGTTCGTGGTCGTTTCAAAATGAAAAACTCACGGTTTTTGGGGAGAGTTTTTGGGGTCTAAAAAACTCTTTAAAAAACACTGTTAGTTTTTTCCTCGATTTTCTAAAATGATCATAAAATCAACAGAATTTTTTGGTCCAAAAAACCAGTCATCAACAAATCAGTTTTTTAGTTCAAAAAACTCTTTTATTGTAGTTTATTAATCTACGATTTTTTTTTAGAGTGTACGATGCAAAAGTAACTGAACAAAATGTCTTCCCATTTTTCTTGTGATAAAATACATTTCGGAAAAATGAAAACAAATCTGTTGAAAATCTACATTTAAAAAGCTTTCGAACTGTGTGTTAAAAACTTTTCAATCGCTTTTAGTCTTCTCAGAATGAGCGAATCTTTGCTATATTCTGAAAACTAAGTTTATAAAAAAAGAAAATCTATCAACAGATGTAAGTCATGGGCTTGGCAAAATCAAAAAGCAAGGAAGGTCTCCTGTAGATAAACTTATTTTGCCCTTGCTTTTTACAACAGAACGCAATAAAAAATGTTTCCTCGGCCAGACGGAAAATATTTTTTTCCAGAGTAGGAAAGTGTGTGACTCCTTCCACTCCATCATGCACCCCGCTCAGTACTTGTATTCGTTATATAAATTTTTTGTAGTGCATTACTAAAACGTTTTTACAGCATAAGATTGTAGAACAGACAATTCTCTACACAATAAGATGTTAAAATAGGATACACGACATACACGGTCGGAAATTATTCGTGTTTTTATGAACATCATTTTTTACCCAAAAAGAATTTCGAGAAAAACACAATTTTTCACAAAGAAGAATTTTGGTAAAATTAAAAGTTTGACCAGTTTTTGCAATGCAAAAATAATCTAAGATCGTCTAGTTGTCAGAGAAAATTCCGCTTTATAAACTAAGTAAGTAAACTAAAGTTTAATCTCTCAATTTGAAGTGGTCATTATTATCAAAATGAAAAGATGCCAAAATTTTTATCGTTATAGCCTAAATTTTTGGTGATAACAAAGATTCGCTCACTGCCAGAAGGCTCCCGAAGTATACATTCAAAATAAACTATTTTTGATACTCTCGGGCCGTGCTTTACCACAAGAAAAATGGCGAGACATTTGTCCACTTACTTTCGCATCGTAGGTTATGAGTAACTCATTTGTTATAAACGGAAGAGGTTTTTATTGCCAGTTTGTAACTTGATCATCCTACGACTCTAAACCGTTGAAAGCACATAGTAAGTGAAATAAGTTTGTTAAGTTAAATACTTAAGTTTTTAATTTTTGGTCGAACAATTTTTTCTATTATAATCATCGCCTGAAACTAACATTACGAACACACTACAACGTTAACAATGATTCTAATCATTCTTAATTTGCGGTATGACAGTGGCTTTATTCACAATTCATTCTCTAATCGTAATTAAACTTATGCATGATTAAAAGATGATTAATATAATCACGACGAACACAGCGATTAATCGTGATAAATGTAGTATCACTGTGCTAATTGTGATTAAACTCATATATATCGAACAAATGTACATTATTATCAATGTTTGAACATCGATTTCAGAAAACTATTTTTTCTCTCTAATATTGAAAAAAAGATCTTTTGATTTTTGTTGAATAATTCAGTTATCGAAAAAAAAAATACGATGTGACTCTTCTTAATTATGATTTAATCATACTACATTCTTAATCATGACTGAAAACGGTTGCAGTCACATTACAAAATTGTTAATTGCGGTTAGCTTTATGCATGAGTGACTCTAATCATGATTAACGCCACAGTATGATCGTAGTATAAATCTTTTACAATTACAGATAGCGTTGCTATTGACGTTTATTTTAATATCCTAATTTAATGTGAGAAAATTATATCTTCGAGTCTTTTTTTAAATACTCGCAATTTAGACTAAAAACAAGGAATCACTTCTCGTAGATACTCTATCTTTGAACTTGATGGTTTCAATGGCCACGCTCTTCTACATATCCACCAGAAACCGAATCGAGTCCAATTCATTTGACTCGAATTAACCCTGAAAATAGGAAGTAAGCACTCAGAGATCTAAAAGTAAATTCAAATTTTTTCTTGAAAAATGCTTAAAAATCATACATTTTTTTTCGTTGTCCTGAATAAAATTCGAAATCAATTTTTATCTGACCCAAACTACAGATTCAATTCGATCTCTGATAGCCACTATTTAATAATTAACATTCCATCTTCCTATTTAGTAACTACTCAATTTTTAGCAAATAAACAGATTTAATCAAAGAGTGTAATTCGGAGTTTTAATCACGAATTTCAAATAACGATTTTAAAGCGAGACGAAACTAACAAATGAGTGTCCTTTCTCTTACTCTCACTAAACATAATATAAATGAACGTTATCACGAAGAAACGTAATATATTTCATTTGATCATTAAATTTTAAACGTTCATTTCACAAATTATTCGTCTTTTCTTTAATTAGCTCATAAAAGGAAAATTCCATGTCGAAAACATTTATATAAAGCCAATGGCACATCTGAACAGCAAGAAGAAACAACAACAAAAATTGATACAACTAGACGACAAACTAGAAATGATAATTTCTCAGATGATATTAGTGTTATATCACCGACAAAACTAATTCGAAATTCTCAATCAATTCCATTATTATCGACAAACGATTCAAATAACTATCATCATGAAATAACAACAACACCGATCGCCTCATTCTATAATTCTACATCACCATTTTACTCGTATAAAGGTGAAAATAATTTATTATTAAATGGAAATAATCAAAATGAATCGTGCTCACTCGTCGATATTGAAGTAGTATCTACTAATGATACGACAACATATCGATCATATACACCAAATTATTATTTAACAAATATAAATA